CTCGTTGTTTAACATTATAACATTCCTGTTTAACAGGTTACTGTCTTCTACAACAGAGATGCAAATGATAGCAACCAAAACAGGCAAGGATTAGAGGACTGAATGTCAGGTTCTTATGGAAAGGAAAAATGAACTTGACCTTTGAGAACAGATTTGAAGTAGTTATGTGTAATAGAATGAAGAAACTCCAAGAAATGGCTCAGGTTGCTCTTTAGCATGTCCAGGCAAAGCAAGTTTAGGCAGCAACAACCAACTTCATAACGCAAGCGAGACTCTACAAGGCAATGACTTGTGAGGGTTACCAAGAGAAACATCTGTGTTTAGGGAACTTCCAGATTAATCAATGGCAGTTGCTTCCTCTTTTATAGGACTTCTGAGTCCAGAATATTTTTTTTCTAAGTCACTCACACATTAAGACATTGACCTTGTGCTATTTAGAAATAATTCAGACATCCTAAGAAGCTTTTGTTTTAGTTGGTGATCTGAATCCAGTAACAGATGGAAAACAGGAGTTCACAACTTTTTTTAAAAAACATACTATAATCTATGCCTGGGCAGAACTGCTGTCACAAAGGGTTTTACAAAGTTTTGAAACATTTAAAACTCCATTTCTTTTTCACAGTTTCAAGTCTTTTTATAGAGATGACGGAAAAACTGGTATATACCAGAGTATAGATTGACTGGGTAGAAATTTACCTCAGAAAAAGATTGAGAGGAAACATAGCTGGATGATGATGTTGTGAAATGGGGGCGCAAACTTGGAATGACACAGAGCACAACCACCCTCTTTCCCACATTGTTAGCCCACGTCAGATAGAGTACTCCGTCTGATGTATGGGCTCACCATTGCTATTAAACAATAACCTTGAAACAACATTGTTAGGATATACTTCTCCCTGGTGTACCACAAGGAGTTAGATAGTGGTGGCATTTAAAGAGTTTGCAGTTAAAATTTGTTTGAAAACGGTCCCTAGGATTCTGTTTTTAAAAGTGGCAGGTAGCAACGAATGCTTGTGTGCGTTTGCATGCCGCTGGGAGGCAGTTTGAATGCAGACTGGCTTCAGGTCTGTGTCCCCTGTGACCTACACTTAAAATGCAGTAAAAAGTTTTCTGCTACATTTTCTAAGATAGATAGATACATGAGTATGACACTTGACGAAACTAAAACAATATTTTCATTTTACCTGTCCAACTGAAAAGCTCCTGTGCAAACAACCTGGCTTATTTCCCGATTAGACTGAATCAAATGGAATGAATTGTATCAAACAAATTAAAGAGGTAAAGGAGAATGAAATGATTTAATGGAAATTAGTACTTTAAATTTCGAGTGCAATTAGATTTCTTTAGGTCAAGAAATGGTATGCGAAAAAGATAAATATGCTGTTCCATTATTACACCGCTTACCAATAAGAAGCAGCATTTTTTCATGTACCAGGGAAATCTAAAGTGTTTTTTGTAACACCTGAAATGAGTTGAATTGTTTTAAAATTCAGTCATCAGTTCAAGTTTATACTGCTTTTCATTTCTCTTTAATAATTTTAATCATTGAGGGTCGAGGGCTGTTTGCAGTGAGTGTTGAAACCAGCATTCCAGGCTTTTCAAATGTTTATTTGCTGATGCACAAATAAAAACAACCACAATGGATCCTTAACAGACAGTCTACAGATGAGATACTGCTGTGTGTTAGTTCATGCTCCTTTCGGTCACTTCTCTACGATTCTTTTATTAAATATTTCTCACAATCTTCTAACTGTGAAATCATTAAAGTTCAATTTTACAGAGTAAACATCAAAAGGATCACAGATCTATTAGTAGAACAGCAGATTTTAATCCAGACTCCTGCCGTCTTTCCTGTGTTTTGCCTCCTATCACTCCAGAACAAGGTGAGCAATAAAGTGTGGATCAGTAAAATCCATTTACAGTGTCTTAAAGGTACATCACTCATTGGACTTTGTAGTGGCACTACCTTAGACAATGGAGCAGATGTGAAAACGTCGTTTTACTATTGGAAATCACAGCTTTTAAACAAAAAGATTAAGATCACATTATACATTTCTGTTTAAGTTTTTGTGTATTGTCATATTAGGACATTTTTTGCAGTTTTATCAAAGAATGAAAATCGCACACCAGCCAACACTCAGTGACACACTTTGGTTTATTGGCCACACATTATCCACAAGAAGCCATTTAAGTATCTGCGATATATTTAAACAAATTCACAGCATGCAACTTCACAGAGCGCATGAGAAACTGCCTGAAGTTGTGGTTTCCATGAATCTTTGCATGGGTCCAGTACTATCTGTCTCCAACCCCCACTGCAGCACACCTCTTCCTAATATAAAACTGCAGTGACCTCAGTGCAGCACAGTCAGAGTTGGGAAGGTGGCCAACTTGCTCACAGCAGCAACATCCTCCCCAAGCAAACTTAAACAGCCTTGGCAGCAAAAAGAAGCTACAGTCAGAGATGACACACAGCCGTAGTCCCCCATTCTCGACTATAACACAACAGATTTTATTGGAGAGACATCTGCCTGCCAGCTGAAAAGAGGCCATAATGTAAGGTAGCTGAAAAAGGCCTGGAGTGTGTGCAGTGACGCAGAGACGAGAAGGATGATCCCGGGTTTCTGTTTTTTACGACACAGAGTTATTTCTGGATAATAAATGATTCATCAAACAACATGAACACTACTGACTGACCTGAGGGCTGTTGTTAAGGCGTGGTTAAACATTTGTATGTAAGAGGAAGTCAGAGGAGTTGTGCATGGCCCATTAGTTTATATGTCCAGTTGCCCATGGAGACAATTTAACCATGAATAGAGAGGTAGCGACTGGTGAAAAGACGGCAATAATTGCACAGAGCAGTGTTAAGTTGTTCTGGACTTTACAGTTAGTCTATACTGCTTTTAACAACAACAAGATAGAAAGGGCATTTTGAGTTTATGTGTACTATAGTGTTGTCTATAAAAACATTTTGCAGCTCATCAGACAAAACGACCAAAGACAAACACAAAGAAACTCACTAATGGCCCAGGGGTTTAAAAAGGTAGACTCCCAGAGACTTTACAGTGCTTTGCTGTCTTACAAACCAGCCGATGACATAGTTATTAGTCATATAGAACATATTTATCTACATGTGTGTGGACTTGTCATTCAAGTAAGGGTTCCAAATGTGAAATACACCACATTTCTGATTTAATGAACTTATTTATTCGATATGCTTGTTGTGCGTCTGAGCTTGGATCAAAATCTGACAATTTCTTGACTTCCAGTTTACAATATATTATAATGTATACATTATTTCTATTTGGCAGGTATAAAAATATATTCGGCTTTTATCATTTTGAGCAAAAATGCATTTGATGTTTATTGCATTGACAGTGTCCATCCTAAAGTTCAAGTGTTTAGTATGGGCAACATTTGACCTTTTGGCTCTCCATAGCTAGGAGAGCTGTAGCAACCCATTCAGTGACTTAACTATTGAGACTATCTGCCAAGATAGCTAGCCTTGAGCCTGCTGCTTGACAACTATGACAAAGACTTCTTGTAGATATAAATAATTAGTGCCCTCCTTCAACCAGCTGACCTGCAGTGTGCAGCAGTAGGTTGGGAGTAGGTGCTTAACTTATTTGACAAATTAACTCATGTTCTTTTGTTTGTTTGTTGTTTTAGCTCAGGCTTAGTCCATATTTCACCAGAAGATTTAAATATTTTTAGTCTTGGCATCCAATAATATGTAGATGGAATGTCTTTCTGTTTCAAGGGAAAATACCCAGTCCTGACCTTTAGGGCTGAAAAAAAGGGACTATTCCCAGTGAGTAATTTAATCTAATCACTAAAACGCTGCTTCAGAGTTAATGCCATCAAAAATCTGAAATCAGACAAATGTTGGTGACTTGGGGTCAGAAAGCTTCAGAATATCTCAGTGCAATGCTCTAATTGTTTTGAAAGACAACTTTTAAAAAATTACAACATATCTTGCTCAGCCCTAAACAGCTACAAAGGTTTTCTGATATCTCAGCCCATCACATGCCTATTTCAACATCCTTATCCCAATTCAAACTGAGATGGAGAAACAGGTCCAAAGTGGGATTGTCCCGACTTTTATTCTTATTTGAAGTTTGAGTAAAATATGAGCTTTAGACGTTTAAAAATTTCGAAACAACTTCCCTTTAAAAGCTCCTAAGTAATATCTCTAAATGCAGAAAATAACACATTGGTAACATAAGCAAAAGTTTTTTGCGGTACAAGATTTCAGCGTCATTAAAAAGTTATTAAATGCTATTTTAGGTTAAACTGCTTGTATTGACATCAAAAGGTTTACCTAGTGCACCACTGGTGTGTTTCAAGGGAAAATATGCCCTGTGTGAATTACAGCTCTCTCTCTCTCTCGCTCTCAGGTACTTTTGGTCAAGAGGAGCCCAAAAGTAGCTGAAAAGTTTACTTGTAGCTTTGGGAGGTTTATTGTTCATTTCCAAGCGAGGCAGCATGCCAAAGCCAATCAGAAAAGCAATGCGACCTTTTAGAAGAGATAACCACTAAGAAACGAAAACAAAGGTTGTTTGGGTGAATAATATGTCCATACATAAAATGAAATACTTGTTAAGTTTAAAATCAACGAATAACAATTGCCCACAAAAAAGAAATTAGATCCGAGGACGTTTTCTCAATAGATAGCAAACTTTTATCAGCCAGATTGCTGATGAAGGACAGAGAGGACGCCGGAGGGGCTCATTGTTTTGTCCTCCATATGGGACAAACATGATCCCGATGAGACTGCCAGACGCTGATTGACCACAGGGAACATTTGAGATTCAAATGAGATGCAGATCTCACACCGCTGGGTTTGAGCTCAACCTACGTTCCTAACTTCACGGAAAAGCTTCGCAAAAAGAGCACGAAACCATCACACCAAGTCATTACAAAGCACCACTCTCCCCCAAACAAAGCGAAATTAGAAAGGTCAGCTTCTAAAACATGAGCTACACATTATGGAAAGTTACCTTTCTCCTCCAGCTTCCAGGCGTACAAAAAGTTCGAGGCAGTATTCCTTTCAACTTTCCGTAAGCACGAAGTACAACTGCGAGCAGTAAGTTGTCAGAAATCTCGTTTAGTTTCCTCAGAGGCGAAAAGACACCAGAGTTGTGTCAGGGTTACGGTCCCCTCTGCGCGTGAGCGCGTGTTTGCTCCAACGTCCGTTTACTCCGCATCTGCGAGGCACACAAAGCGGCCTCCTTTCCCCTGAAAGAGCACTCCCCCCCCCGTCCCCCCCGCTAAGATTTAAAGGCACAGCGTCCTATTTAGCCACAATATATAACAATAGACTCAACTTCAACTTGGTGGGTGATGGGGCTCCTAATTTAAGCATAATGCCTGTCTACTTATCTCAGGGCAAGAATAATGCCTCTGTTCGTCCCACACTCCATTAAATCATGTTAGCATCTTGGGAATGCCGCACCACAAACATATAACCAAATAACTGCTGTACATGCTGTCTGGCTCAACACTTGGTGTGTCATAGCTGCAGAAGAAAATCTTTCTTCAGCAGCTTGGATATGGGAACAATAACAGCTGTTAGTACAGGTTAATAAACAGATCTGGTTATCAAGAATGTTTGGCAAAAATAGCCATTATTAAAAAAAGTAAATGAATAAATCCCATTCATAGTCTTCTAAAAAGTGACACAGCAAACATATGGAAGAAGATCCTATGCTTTTTGCCTATCTGCTTTGTGTTAAAGAAAACCATGTGGTGGTGGCAGTATCATGCTTCGGGGGGATGTTTCCTAAGCAGGGTCAGAGAAACCGGTCAGACTTAATGGAAGTGGAGCTAAAATCCTTTAAATGAAGGGCAATACCATCAAACTCTTCAAATGTTTAAGGGCATGAACATGTTTTTAAGCCCACAATGATTCATTAGGTGTAAGGTTTTTGTTTGTTTGTTTGTTTTATTATTCTAGCTGTATCTAAAGCTGGCTGCCACAGTAAATCTCAAAGACATCATGTCATAAAGTCTCCAGTTATTTCTGAGAGTTCACAGATTGGGTTATAGAAATGCCTATTATTGTTTTGTTTGTTTATTTATTGTTGTATTTTTTACTCTAAGCAATTACATACCATCGAGTGCATAAAAAAATATGAAGACCATTTTTTTTAAACAGCATGTGTTTGAGTGCTTAAAACAACCATCTGGTCATCAGGTGTGAACCTTAACCCAGACTTTCCTGTTTGCCATCTGTCTCTCAGATTTCTCCCTTATGTTAATATTATTATAGACCTTATAAATGATGAGCCAATTAGTGGGCAAAGTTTAATGAGATTCTCTGCATCTCGGAGAACAGTGGTGCGTTTCCGCAGGAACAAAACTTTGATGGTCTCTTTCCGTGAAGCAGTCGTTTATTGCTTCCTTGTGTGGTTTTTGTACCCAGTGCTTTGCTTATTGCCTGGGATTCTACAATAAAAAAAATACACAAAGTATATTTTTGCCTAATGGAAACCCCTTAGGGGAGGTCAAACTGTTACGAGATCAGAAATTGCTCCATGTAACAGTTTTTTTGTAATTTATATCACAATTCTGAGCTGCCTCAAATCCCTGAATGGCCTTTATTTTGGTTTAAAGTGCTTTCAAATTGAAGGGAAAGTGGACGAGAGGGTTCATTCCAAAAACCTGGAAATAATTGCAAGCATAATGCACCTTGGAAATTGCATAAACAATTTAAACTACTGACAGACCGTACAATAGAAAGGACAGTGGGAGGGACCTCCTTTAACACAAATTACTATCCTTTCACCAACTATCAGTATATCCTCTTCAAAACCCTAACCCACCCTGAGTGAAACTGACAAATGAGGCAATTTAATTCATGGCTTCAAAGTCCTTTGAACTACACCTTCTGTCTGAATGCCTTAATATTCCAACTGTGGGCTCTCAAAGCTCATCATGGCTATTTAGTACCCTGGGCTCCCTTTTAAAGAGGGACCACCAGCTCTGTCATCCATTGCCTAAGAGGGGTAGAAACAGGGGAAAGGAGGCAAATAAATATTTCCTGCAAGCTGAACACCTCTTGAGTACAATTCCACAGACAGAGAGAAATTTCCCATGTGTTTTCAAAAAAGAGGATTAGCGCTCTGGAAGCTCCCGTTCCAATTCCCTGTTCCATCCTATCCCATCTAATCTCCTCTTTTCTCATGCCTGTGTGTTTAGTGGGTTAGCCCTGGATCAAGTGACTGACTGTGATCCAATTAGCATCTAGCAGCATCTGACGCTCTGCATGTGTCTTTGATTTAGATGTACGTGTCGAGTGCTTCCAAAATATAGAGCAACCAAGACATTCCTCATGCTTTACAGACAAAAAAACAAATCCTCATGTTTTACATTGCTGCAACTAACATTTCCAAATCTCTATTTTTTTGGCTAAAGATTGTATTGAACTAATGAGTCGTGCTTATCTAGTAGCACAGAACGACTTGAGAGGGACATTTGTAAGCAGATAACGAGATTTTACATCATCTGCACTGATCCATTTTAACGGTTCCTTGAGTAACGGTCAACAGTTAGGTTGTATTTGATCAGCTAATCAACAATAGACAGATCAAATGCACTCACAGAAACTGGTCACAAACAAAAATATAGAAAGTGATTTCTACATTTTTCTTTTTTTAACTGAGCATTAAAGTGAATGTATATGGAGAAGATTTGCAAAACTATGACAGTTAAACTTCAGTTAGATTTTCATAAAACTATGTGGAGATATTTTTTTTAGCTTTTCAAATGCATTGTACACCTGGATAGTACAGAATGGCTGATTACACAACTCTGAATCTCAATTTTCCGTATGAGAACTATATAGTAAGAAAGTGCATTTTTACTCCAACTGGAATTCATGCTATTTCAACTACAATATGCGTGTGCGCGCATTGCTGGAGTTCATCGTTTTGCACATTGTGACTTTGAAATTTCTGTCTGTGTTATTTGAAACAGATAGATTTATGCTAAGATTCAGGTACAGACAGAAATGAGGTAGGGCTCACTACAAATGTATGACATTCATTTCAACAAGAAATGTTGGAAATCATCTTAAATCTTCTTTCATTTTACATCTATGCAAAGCTTCTTGCTGATACCACATAATGTTCCAATAAATGTTGTGGCTTAACATCACAAAAAATAAAATTTGTAAAGGGTGTGAACATTTTTACAAGGCATTATATTACCATGATTCTGTTTGGTGACAACAAGTAGACAGCAGATTTAGCACCCTCAATCATGATGTGACTATGTTGAACAAGCAGCAAAGACAACAGACTGTTGGTGGAATTCTTGCTGCATTAGGTTTTGATTTAGCTCAGCACACCACATTCTACAATTGCCATATTTGAAATGAGATTAAATATATTCACCACAGTAACTGTGTTTACATCCGTGTTTAACTGGCAGTCACAAAAAAATACATGAAAATGTAACTTTAGTTATATCCTGTTTTACTATTTTAATAATTGTAAGCGATGACATGACTACTGCTGTGACCAAGTTTCTTTTTGTTCCTTTTTTTACCATGTGGAGAAAGAAAATCACATTTTGAGGAACATGGCCTGCTGAGGCAACAGTCTGCTGTTTGAAAAAAATAATATGACTTGTCAGCCAGGACTGTATCATGTCATGGCATTCTAATATGAATTGTTTGATGATCCAAAGAACTTGTTTCTTAAGCAATTTTTGCAGAACTAGTACCCTTTACTTTTAGGATTTACAGAAATTTGGCAGAAAGAGAGGTGGGGAAGGCATGCAGCAAAATTTCCCAAGTAAGAAATCAGACCCTGGATTGCCGCATCGAGAATTATTAGCACAGAGATTAGAAAATTTACATTAAAAAATAATTACTTATAAGACAAATAATGAAAGTTTTAAGACTCAAATTGTGAAAAGGCTTATTTTTGTGTTGCATTTTTTGCATAACTGGACCTGAATAAAAGACGGGATAACATTGAAAAATAATTTATTTCAGAAATGTACTGTGATAATATATTCATTCAGATTCTGCATGATAAGCTTTTGTTGCGTACAATGAAATCACCCCACATTAAAACTTAAAAATAAAACCTAAAAGGAAAAAGTAGATGACAGTCTTTTCACTTTTCGAACTATGGTAACTAGCAACACATCACCGATTCTTCACTATAGCATTGTAAGTTCGCATCACAGGTGGCCAGACGTGACCCACCCTTCTGCGGCAAAGCTCCAGGCAGGTTTAAAGCTGCAGGACGATCCGTTTATACACAGACTTACAGTGAATGATCTGTAAAGCTTGAAGTACACATAGTGTAATCACTGGAGCACACGCCCATGCACACGCACACACACACGCACGCACGCTTTAGAGCAAAGTCACACCTGGATAGTACAGAATGGCTGATTACACAAAAGGGAGAGAAGTGAGGCAATTTAATGACATCATCTGTTGAACAGGCTCAGTGCTGCCCAGCGATAGTGATCAGTGGCAGGAACAAAAACAGTTTTAGCAACAAGGTGAGGAGATAAAAACATTTCTCCACCTTTTTTTTTCTTAACAAAGTCGCACCTAAGCACTTCCAGCAGATGTGTCCACAGTTTCAAAAATTCAACTTGGAGGCTGAATATCAAAGCGTTTCAGTAGATTGAGACTGATGTGTTTATACGAGAGCCAGCCAAGTGGCCAAACGTGAAAAATGGGTTGTGTATGCAGAGAAGATTCGAAGCCTCTGCCTTGCCCATCTGTTGGGAGTAAAAGGAGGCTCTTGTAGCCCATGGAGGAGGGCGCCGCGAGTGGTGTGGTCACAACTGGTGCCAGATGTCATAAATAAGCCATCAAGACAGTTTTGTTCCACTAGAACACTCTCACAAAAAGACTTGAACCTTTTCAGTTAAACAGACATACACTCATTTCATAGATCTGGAGGGTCTCTCAGGCACAGTAGAGCCACCTTTGGCCCAATGTAACAAAATGCTGTTTGACTTTTCTGTGTGTGTGTGCTCTCAGACTGAAGAGTTGGTTCCACAGTAATGCAGATTTGTGTCCTGAATGTCCACAGAAAATGTTCCAGGACAACACGTGAAACGTTGTGTCAGTTTGGTGTTTAGTTCCATATTTTATCCTTCATATTTTGTTTTCACATGGAGACAAATTGAGTTTTTTTCTCTTCATCACGAGTTTCCATCAATTAAGCTGATTTTGTCCACCGACTCAATTTTGTCTTCTCGGTATCTCCACTATATATATGCAGTATATATATTTATATATATATAGTTGATATATATATATAGTTGATATATATATATATAGAAAAGGTTTTGTGTTTTCAAAGACTGGTGACTTTGTACAGAAGTTACTAATGAATGTGTTTCAAAGAACAAAAAAAAAAAAAAAAAAAAAATCATGCAAGTTGTTCAGTGATTAAAATAACTGCAGACATGTCTTATGAATTGGTGAAAGCAAAAACTGAGTCTACAATGGCACACTTTCACACGCTAAACAAGACCAAGTGCTTTGAAAAGTCTGTTTATCCAAAAACAAAAGAAATAACATGAGAGCAAATGAAAACACTATAAGAGGCGAGAGACGGCTGAGATCGATCTGTCAGGCTGATTTTGCATTTTCCGATGCCGTGCTGTTCAACACGTATTGATGCTTCCAGAAAGTTTGGTCCTTTTCAGCATTTTTCACACAAAGGAGGAGAAGCCAGCAATAGGAGCTCGTGACCCAGGGGCCAGGCTGCTGGGGGGCCTGTAGAGGGTGTTGTGCTGGCTGGAGGTGTTAGAGCTCTGCTGGGAGGGGGTGGGAGTCCGACTTCCTTTGGGTCTAAACAGGTTGCCTTGACCCTGGGGTTGACCCTGGGCCTGTTGAGGCTGAGGGCTGGGTGAACTGAGTTGCGGTGGGAGTGGGGGTAGTGGAGGCAGTGGTGGTGGGGCGTGGTGCTCCGGGTCTCCCGACTCAGACTCAGTGAAGCTGTAGGCCTGCGCTCGGGATATTCCCTTCTGCTGGCGGCGCCAGGAGTTGTAGTAGGTTGGGTCGCTTATGTAGTGGTTGACAAAAGAGTGGGTTTTCTGCCGGTTTGGGTCGACCTCGTACTCACTGTCGCTGCCCTGAAAGACAAAACAGAGATGGTGTCCTGAGTTAACATAATTTTATAAGTAGCTTTCAATGAATCAGAATATTGTCAAAATGATTTTTTTCATTCAGTTCAAATAGCAAATATGCAAATTCTTCACACATAGAGTGATATATTTTAAGAGTTTCTTTCTGGTAATTTTGATCATTATGGCTTAAAGTTAGGACAAATTACATTTCTGTTTCACCGGAAACTATATTTTAGACAGAGTTGTCACCGTGCTCTAAAGAATGTCCAATTGATAATGCAGTGCATACACCGCACGGTCAACAACACGGGCAGATGACATTTCTCCCCAAATCATCAATGACTGGAAAATTCACACTGAGCCTCAAGGATTTGAATGTGTGTGGTGGCTCTTGAAAAACTGGCTATGGCTACAATGAACTCAAGAATATCCTCAAACTTCCTAAAAGGGGTTGCTTTACAGCACCTTTCCTGACCACGTTATTTTCTTCATTTAAACTTCACATTGATTTTTTGGCAACTTTTTGTGACTTATGTTCATTGTGGAATTACTGCCCATGGGAGGAAAACTGTTAAGTAATCAGTTCTCCCTGTGATTATATAGGCCATGACATACAACATTGGTCTAATGCAATGTTATAGTTGTATAAAAAAAATTGTTTTGTTCATTAACTTTAGGCCACTCTGTTTACTATAAATGTGTAAAATATGACTTTCCCTTTTTGATCTGAATAACTGAAGAAAATGAGTCTCCTAATTTATTGGAACGTACTTGCACATTACAACAATTTTCCAAGTCATCCCTTTTTAAACATCAAACACACATGCAAATATGCCTAGGGAACAACACAAGTACACATGGACAAAATGGTCAATAATAACCAAAACCATGACTGCAAAAAACAGAAGCGTGCACAGTTAGACCATCAAGACAAAATGGAGAAGGTCAGTTTGTCTCAGGGAGTAACTAATCAATTGAGCTTTTAGGACAGAAGCTCTGTGTAGCCACACCTCACCAGAAAGTAAGATGATTTGTTGTTAAATGGTGTAGAGTGCCACATTAAACCCACAATGAAAATGAGAGTCTGGGGTTAAGGAGTGGATGGAAACCACTTTGGAGCCATTCACCTACACGGCTACAAACATTAAAAGCAGGCAGGTATGGGAACCTCACCAAATGCAGTGGAAGTGTATGTAGGCCACCTGTCCCATATGAAAACACCAGCGCCTCCTATGGGTGAACAAAACAATGGGTTTTACAGTACATCAACGTAACAGAATGGTTAGAATGGCCAAGTCATGATGATGATGACATCAAAGCAGAATACAGTACTGTACAAAAGTTATTTTCGTGTCAACATGTCTCATTCATCAAAATGATTCTAGTGCTAAACTGTTGCTAAAACTTTGGTTGGTAAACGATCTGTGCATCCACCAACTTTAGCCCCAAAACTTGATGCAATCTTGAATTGCCAGAAGCTGTGAAATCAGTGAAAGAGACAAAAAATTTTCTGAGTCACGTTTAAATCATTTGAACTATTGGTCCAAATAATTTAAGATAATGTCAATTTGAGATATTCTAATAGTTTCAGCAATTGTTTCTAAATCTAGTTAGAAGTGATTTGCTTTGGGCCTAAACAGGTTGCCTTGACCATGTGATTTGGGACTATATATTTTAAATGAAATGTCACAGAGTTATTGAGTTACTAATTCTTTTTTGTGAAAAGTTTGTAAATGGCTTTTGAAGCTGAGTTTACAAGCACCATTGGGTATTTTTAATATCACTAACGTGTGTTTATATCATACTTAAAGTGGTTTACGTAACTCCAGTTGTGGCAATGGACCACATCCAGCCACTTTCATAAAATGCTTTTAGCTGAATTTATAAATACCTTTTGCTTTTATGTTCATTCTAACTAACCACTCACCGATAGCCATTCTCACCATTCTGTGTCTATAAATCCTATTTAAAATGGTTTACATAACTGAGATTTATGGATCTGTTATTTATTTAGAACAATGGACAAAATGTAGATGACTTTATTGTAGCATTTTCAGCTTAATTCATAAGTACAATTCAAAGTGAATTTTATAGATACCGGTTTGCATAACTCCAGCCAATTTATACATTTATCTGCATATTATATATCATAAATATTGAACACTGATTGATTTTTAAAACATTTTTATAAATTAAACTGGTAACTGGGACATCTGTTTGCATCTCAAGTCAGACTTAGATTACATTTTGATAAAAGTACCGCCAGCAGTTTAACCCTCTGAAAAAGCCAAAATACATCAGAAACGGAGGATTAAAGATCTGCTGGATGAATTGTTTTAAATCACTTAACACAATGGCTCCAAGGAGGAAAACAGGCTGTTAACCAGCTCCAACATTTACTCTGATTCAGCTGTCAACCTGTTTTAGTGGAAAAAAAACCCTGTAGGAAATTACTAAAAAAACCTATTGGCACTAAAATCCTTTGTTACGGTATAGAAGACAGACTGAAAAGGGATATGGATCAAATCTTTGTGAGATTTGTTTCTGATTCTAAAGTACTTATTGCTGTAGAATTTCTTTTCAGTCTTTGCATTTCTTTGATTTCAATACTCGTAATTCCTCCAGTATTCTAATGACAAGCAATTATAAAATGGTGGGACTTGCCAAAATGATGCCAAATACCTCTTAGGAAAGCATTTTCAAAATGTTAACTAACAAGAAAAGAATTTGTGCTTTTTTCAATGAGTCTCATTGTTAGAATAAAGAAAAACTATTAGAAATGTTTGTGGGTTTTTTTTGTGTGTGTTTTGCTAAGATACTGCCCGTATCCTTCACTGAAATATACTAAGAATGTGAAGTTTCCAAAGACTGAAATGAAAATGATAATAAAAAAAAGCAACATATTTCTAATTTAATTTCAGGCTAACTATTTCTCCAGACCAATTTAATCAACTATTTGGAAATGTGGCTTCTTTGGAAGCAAAACCTACGGAAATGAAGGGTGACCGATGGTCTTTTTACAGCAACATAACACACACGCACACACACAGAATTTAGTGCAAATTCTGTGAAAACAAACAAAAGGTGAAAAGTTGAATGCATCTTCAAAAAAGTGTTTTTGAAAAGTTGAATGCATCTTCAAAAAAGTGTTTTTGAAGATGCATTCAAAAACACTGCCTGATTTTAGGTTTATTTGTGAGGATAAATTGTAATTTAATTTTTCGGCTGTAGTCTGGCTTTGTTTCACATAACACTCCAATATGCTCAAGGTTGGGCTGGAAAAAACTATTGAATTTATGTCAAAAACCATTTAATTTGAACAAAAAGTGACATGACTGCCAAATACTCACTGAGGGTTGCTTGTGGTCATCTAAGTACCACAAACGTACTTCACCAGTTGTGCATGTAATTAGTCATCGGGCCATAAGGAATGCATGAAAAAGTTGACGACGCCAAAATTCTGAACAATTTCCCCAGAGAAGCAGCTTCAGGCATGCATTAGATATATTTCAAAAGCAAAACAACAAAGGGTTGTTCTGCTAAGGATGATGCCTCGCAGGGATAACATTGATAGTTGTAATCACTGGGGTTGCTCTCTCAGACTTGCCTTTATGATCTTGTTCCATTCTGTCATACAGACACAACATGTCTGGCATGCACTTGAAGCTCCGTACCTCGTCCTGAATATTGCAGAACACATATGTGATGCATATGGCCTTGGTCTCAGATATCCCCCAGCATGCTTTGCTCCTCACAGTATGACGGTTGATTGTTTTTTCCAAAGATGTGGGAAAAGGTTTAAAGCCTCTCAACAGAAATTCTGAATGGTTATTTAAAAGGGAGAAATGAGCCTACTTTAGATTTTGTGTCTCCAAACAAAGGCAATCATTCATGTATATAGTTCATAAAAAGCAGACACTGTGCCACTTTCCTCTGACCAACTTCGACTTTCCTTTTTAAGTGTTTTTCATCACAACAATTTTTTTTTTGATATAACATAATGGTTTTTGCGTGGGTGCCTTTTCATAATATTGTTAAAGCTCAAAGGACACCAGATTTGAAAAGTGTTTCAGTTGAGATAACATAAACTAATAAAGTTCTAAAAGTGGACCTGGCGGACCTGAAGTGTTTGAATGCTGTTGCTATAAAAATGTCCTACATAAAACATAATTGTTGGTTTATCGCTTTTACTAATAACTCACTTATCAACTAAGGAACTTAAAAAAATTATACTAATGATTTGCCTCTGGAGCGTTGCGGCTGGAGACAAGGCTCTTTATCCCAGCTCATTACAAGCTAATTACTGCAGCTGAATACTATGCAAGAAGTAGACTATAGGCATGAAATGCAGCATTGCACCTCAGCCTCACGGGACCAGGCATCATATTTAAGCAATGAAAAGCCTTAAATAGACACATAGCAGACCGCCGAAGTTAATTATTTAAGTTTTTATTTTTTTCATCATTTCGATGCTAAATTAGGCAGGGAAAGAGATTAAGAAATCTACACAATTAACTTGTGAAACCACTTGACAGCAGTTTATTTATGATCGGCATGATAAAGATGCTGTGGGTCCTTGTTTATCAAGGCTAAAATTAGGAAGCTGGAAAAAACAAGAGAAAAAAATCAGAAAAAGAAAAAGTCAGAGAAAAAATAGGACAGTAGACAAGCATTTTATTGTTTTTTGGTTTTCTTTGCTGGAGAAGATGTATGTCATCAGTTTCTGAGTATTGTTTAAAAAGAAATTCCTATCTCAAAGACCTCTGATCTTTGACCTCGGCTTGCTGAGGAATTACAATACCTTGCGTCAGTGTTTAAACTGACACAAGGTATTTTTGTCACATAGTAGATTCTCCACTGTATTAGAAGCAGGTCTGAGAACTGTTTTTCACATTTTCATCTTTTGATTAACACCAGAATTACCTGGAGAGATTATTGCTTAAAAGTGCAATCTTAGTTTCATCTGGAGAGACTCCAAGCAGGAGTTAGCATACATTTATGCTTGCTAAAGTACAGGATTGTCATTTTCCTGGCAACATTCCTCAACAACTGGCTGGCGTTTAGATAATGTCTAATGACTGAAGCTGTCATCTGAACTCATTCATCACACTTTTAGGTGTTAAAAACTAATTATTACTCTCTTCATGTTTATTTAGTATCTGGAAGCCAGTTTCTAACTTAGAGAGATCATTTCTCACCTACCTTACTTAATGTTCTCCTATCATATTTTTAGCACTGAGAAAAATGATAGTGTGGACTACATATGATATGTTTCTAGACTTTCTGACATAAAAAAAAATGTCTGCGTCAATAAAATATACTTCATTTAACAGCAATTTTTCTCATGGTACCAATGGACCAGTTTCACCATCGGAACAGAAAAAATGCCTTGTAAGTGAAAAAATATAATTTTATATCAAGACTTGGTTTCACCCAACCTTAAGAACATATTTATTTGCTTGTTTAATTAAATTCCCATGCCCATTTCTAATGAATGCATTAATTAATTTGCTAATTTATTTGTTGGTTTATTTGTAGTTAACTTAATTTTGTAAACTACAAATCCCACGACAAGTTGTCTCACATGGCAACAGGTACAACCTTGGAAAATTATTTTAAAATAATTTTATTTACTCTATGAAATAATTTTTTTCTGATGTTTCTAATCAAATATGTTTATGAATTTTCCAGATTCTTTAATCAATTATTCATTTGTATCATGTCAATTTATGTGTTTTTGCATCTTTATGAATAATTAATTGTGTTTTTAAATCTGACATGTTCAACATGTTTGTTTTTACATCTCCCAGACCTTGTTTATTTTATTTTTTGTACTTAACTATATCCTCCAACTTTCCTTATTTGCATAAGACATAATACCTTGAACTACATTTGGTTGTACATTCCTCAACAAAGCAATGACAAACTTGCCACCATAATGGATCTTGTCCAAACTATTCATCAGAACAATTAATATCACTGGGATTTGAGACTGCAGAGCATTAGTGGTTCCCCAGACAGTCTGACTTGCTTTATTAAGTGTAATAGAAGCATGTGGGTTCATTCAGGCTTCTCCATTAAAATTTGATTCATCTGTAATTAAAGCAATGATGGGCAAATATGTCATCCACAAACCTTCTATAAAACCCAGCTGTTTCAAATCCCCTAAAAAACATGTGTGAGGGTTACCTCCTATGGCACAAAACTATTAATAAGACAAAGCCTAATTTAGGAGGAGTCATACTTTTGGTTCAGTTTGGGCCGTAACATTATCCAGGAAACTGTCAAAGCCAAATGGCTGCAAGGATTATTCCCTGCTGAGTCTCAACCAATAAAGCTGCAATGTCCGGTGAGACAGAGCGTCATGGTTTGGAGGCAGAGGAGGACAGATGGAGGCAGAAAGGGAACGAGAGGGTATGAGAGAAAGCAGACACTTTCATTTCTCTCTTGTGGAATGCTGCTCAGCAGAGAGCCTAATCTACACTCCATCTCTGACTCACAGATGAGATCATCTGTCTTCGACTGGTTTCAGCTTTAAATGACACACACAAAAAAAAAAAAAACACTTTGCCACAGGGACAACCTTGGAAAATGAGAAAGGCTGTACAGTAAAAAAAAAAAAAAAAAAAAAAAAAAGTCAATAGCCCTGTACCTGCAGGCTGGCAGAACAGTAATGGTAGCATTGTTGCCCTGCCAAGTAAGTGTTGGCTTCTTCCAAATCTCCTTGTGACAAGCAGTACAATAGTCAACTTGTGCCTGTTAAGGAAGGCCCTGGGGATTAAAGAGCAGACACAGCACGGTGTCTCACAGATAGCTTAGTGTTATCTGCTCAATGTAACTTCAAAGAGCATTCCTACACGTCCAAAGCCCTAGCGGGTGCTGATATAGACCCTGTGAGGGGTACAGCAGCGGAGCCCCCGGAGTGACAGGAAGGCCTCTGGATGTTTCAGTCTGTCAAAAACAAACATCAGCTTATTCAGCATGGAACAAGCCACCATATGGGTCTTGTCATCTTGGGCTGAAGAGAATGCATTTGACAAAAATCAAGTGCAAATTCTGGTATGTCAGGTGGGTGATGAAATATCCGAAAGACCCGTTTGAGGGAATGCCACAGTACTGTGAAAGGTCCTGTCTGTAGCAATTCATTGTAAAGAGATTTTCATTTGATCTGGAAATAGGACTTGGGTCCCGATAAGGCCGAGCGAGGAGAGACGTCTGGCTGCGGGATTCACATCAGAGACGTGTGAGAGGCGTTCAGCGATAATTCGAATCAAGAATTCTCTCAAAGCAGGTGAAAATGAATCAGGTTGTTTGTGTTCCTTGCTAAGACTTGTTACGCGTTTCCAATTTCATGTTATTTTACAAGTCAAAAGCTCAAACCTTAATCTATTTCACTTAGAATTTATGTGATAAAACAATACAAAGTAATATATAATTAAAACAATACAAAGTAATATATAATTGAGAGAGAATATTAATGCACTGCTTAAGCATTTTTTGCTAATTAAAAATCTGAAAAAAAGTGAAGTGTCTTTGTATTCAGGCCCCTTTACTCTTGATACCCGTGAATAAAATTCTGTTTAACAAAATGCTTTCAGCAGTCATCTAATTACCCCATGAGGGAAAAGCCAGGTCTTAGGGGTTTGCTAGAGAATATTAGTGAACAAATATTAGAGAACAGACTGCTTCATTATGATTAAAAGACACAAAAGGTCAAGGACACCAAAATACAGCAGTCCACCTAAACTGACTGGCTGGGTGAGAAGGACAATAATGGATAAAGCCACCTTGAGGAAAGTGGTCATACTGTAAGAGCTGCAAAAATCCATAGAGCAGGTAGAAGAATTTGTCCACATGATTGCTTATTCATGCAGCTCATAAATTTGACCTCGATAGGAAAAAATAAAGCAATTTTTGAGGAAAAAAAATCTGTATACATTTTTCATGAGTTACATAGAAGAAAAAAGAAGATAAAGACAGAGGGCTTTGGTCAATACTATATGAAAACTAGACATAACACATCATCCTGACTAAAAACTTGTAGCTGAGTTCAAGAGTTCACCAACCAGCAGGATAACATTTAGTCAGAGCAAAAAATGAATAGTTTAGATCAAGTCAAATTTATACAATAAAGTGGCCCAGTCAAAGTCTACAACTGAATCAAAATGAGAGATAACTGGAACCCTTGAAAATGAATGTTCATAGGCACTACCCGCCCAATGCGACAGACTTTAAGTGGTTTTGCAAAGATAAATTGGCAAACAATTTAGTTGCTGCTAGAACCATACCCAGTTGTAATTGTAACAACGAGTGTTTTCCGAACTATTCAAGGGAGTTAGTTACAAGTGCATATTAATAATCAATCCAAACTCCATAAAATACAATGAAGATTATGGATGTAATCTGACAAAAACGAAAAAAAAAAATGCATTATGAACACTTTTTTTATGATGCTGTAAATAAAAAAGCAAAGATGCATAAAAATTTCAGTGGGGAAAATTGTCTTGGTTTAATGAAGGTGAAAAGCAGAAAGTAGCTTGACTGACATTCTGATCAATAGAGAAACAGACAGAAAAGCAGAGCCTATTGATTTTAATCTCTTACTGGGAAAAAGGCACTTTGGGTCATGATGAAGAGAGGCTACAATTCAGACAATCCACCATTAATTGGTAGTGATCCTTCTACCTTCTGGACTTTAAATAAATCGAAAACAGTGGCCGTTTTCCAGTGAGATCATATTGAGCTGACAAAATAAAAAGGAAAGTTGGACGGTTCGTGTGGCTGGAACTAAAACCTTAAGCACAACTGGAGCGTTTTTTTTTTTTTTTACCCCAATGGCTTATGTAACAGGAGCGGTGCTTGAACACAGCTCGGATCACAGGTGGACATTTACTAAGTGACATTGTCCATGAAACTAAAAACTGCTGAGCAGCCAGTGAGCAAAGTCATTAATCTCACATCTCTATCTGCATTCGTTGTGACTTATAACTTAGATGAGTGACACAAACACAATAGGGACAGACAGAATGTGCAGCACTGCTGATAATGTGAGGCTGAATTCAGGAGGAATTCAGAGATGACAGTGTGCACACACACACTTATATACACACACACCTACACACAAATGAGACAAATGCTGCTTTATGTAGACAGGATAGCGATCAGAGAAGATGTAGGATAAAGAAAGCAGTGCCACTGCACCTGTGAGTCAGAGATTTCAGAGGGTTTTTCAGTCAGGCTTGTGCTCTCCGCAGGGATCAGGTCATTGTATTTGGTGCTCACATCCTCGTCCGAGTAGTGGAGACTGCCTGGACTGGGTCTGGGTGGAGACCTGAACAAGAGACAAAGAAAATGATTGGGTCAACATCTAATGTGGGCTCTATTGAAAGTCAAAATCTAAAGAATTAAGAATGATTGCTTACATTTGGCCACATTTTTCTTCTCTTTTGTGTGTCTCAAGCAAGGTAAGTTGAATATTTCTTAATTTACTTTGTTTTAGTACATCGTTTCTTGGGTGTGCAAGAAGCTGTGCGTGGTATTTCAAACTGTAACTTTTGTTCTATTTGTGAATCCTTTATTTGCTCTCTACAGTAATTGTTCAGGTTTCTTGTAAATTGAATCATTTACAGATCCATTGCCCAAGACACTCTTGAAAATGAGTTTTAATTTTTCACTTCCTAGTTAAAAAAAGGTTATAAAACAAACAGACAGACAGATATATGGGTACAGGATGAGAATACATTCTGATTGTTGTTGACCTCTTGATCAATGGCTGAACCAAAAAACTTAAGGAGCCATGTAAAGCAGGGTGAGTGAACTGTGTAGTTATGGTTTTATGAAACATTGGTCAATAATTAAACAAAACTCCTGGTTCAGTTTGACGAAAGCGATTTAAGGGAAACGGCAAACATGTGAAATAAGGTGGCCTGATGAGACCAGACAAAAACTGAATTTCCGGACTCGCATGTAAAACGCTGGGCATGGTGAAACCTTAACCTTGAAAGCTGGTGCTGGCAGCTTTAGAAAGTGAATTGACATCGCTGTCAAAGCTGATTAAGTTATATTCGAATATGGGTGTTTTACTTTTCATTTCATTTCAAATTCATGTAAATTCATAAAAAAAAAAACAACAAACTTTAGATCACAAACAAGCACAGATCCCTTAAGGTCCATTCTCATTACTTTCCAGTAGTGTCGCTCCCCTCTTTTCTTTTCCCAAGTGTGCCCATCTGTGTGTAAATGTGCGTGTGCGAGAATGTGTGCATGCATGCGTACGAGTTGTGCTTGATGAGCATCATGAGACGGTCATGAGATTCCTGCTTCTAGCCGGAATCTTCTGGAATGAATAAATCCCTGTTTCAGCCCCCTCTCTGTGGGCTGTGGAATGTCAAACCACTCGGCTCTTGTGACTAAATTATAAACAGATCTCTTGCTGGGGTCGTCGAATGAAGAGCAGTCATAGGCTCTCCTCCAGCAAAAGCTATTGCAGCCGACACGAACGACACCTCGGATTAAAGTGTCAGTGGCACGCTGTGCTGATCAAGTATGTTGCTCGGATCTGAGCTTCATGTGATTGAGCAAAGAGGAGATGTTGAACTATGCCTGGAAGAAGGAGTGAGGGGGAAAAAAAAGAAAGATCTGTAAGATCTGTAGAGAAATATTTAGAGAAATGGCAAAGTCTTGTCAGGATTTTCTCTTTTTTAAGTAAACTGAAAAGGAAGTCTTTTGCTATCAAATCTTCTCTTTACTTTCCCCTGTCACTGCTGTTGCTAAACAAGCAGCCATCTGTTTCTGCTGATTGGTGCTGGTTTGGCTGAGACCGCTGGGACATTCTGACTGCTGTTGACTTTCCAGGCCACAGGGTCGACTGCCAGTTGCTGCCCCTGGAGCCACGGCAGCGCACACATCCATTTGATGCATCCAGGATGAATTTGCATAAGCGTCTTCTAAATTAATGCATGTGGAAAGTATTTTGAAAATGTGCGGTGGGTAAAATTCCAGCAGTCTTTTTATGGTGGTGGCACAAAAAACAGAAAACCATGACACATACATATATCTGCACACATGCAAACATCTGCACATCCATTCTTCCATCCATCCATTCGTTAATTACTTTAATACCATTCATTTAACGCCCTCTGTGGTGGCTGGCTGTCATGGCACCTCAACTCTGTAGATATTTCAAACTTTGAAAAGCTCTGAACATAATCCTGAGAAGATGCTGTCTGATATAGGCAAGCAAGACTTAGCAGTGCAAGTTTTATAAAAAACAACAAAGTTGCAGACTTTATAAAAAATATCAAATACTGCAGAAGTCTACCAAAACACTAGAAAACCAGAGAAAGAATCCGTTGTTGTTGGGACCTGATTGCTAGTTAATAAACAACCAAAAACCAGTTATTCCTTAGTGGAAATTTAAAAATATGTCAACTAGCATTACTTAAAGTGGCCACAGATGCTAAAATACAATGAGACTGTGAGGCACAGAAATGTTACAACTGAATTTGAATTTATTCTATCTGAATAGGACAATGCACAACAATAAATGTACAGCACTGCTTTAAATAGACTGGATTTCGCTAATCTCCACAGCACATTAAGAAAAAATAACTAAGAAATATTCTTAATACTCAAACCTTAAGCAACTTCCTCTTCCTCACAAGACTTTAGAGAGCCAAACAAAAAATGGAGCAAGAGTGAAGAAATGCAATTGCGAGCCTCCTGGGACTTTATGATAAACTACCTGTATAAAAGCACGGAGAGATCGCAGCACCCTTTCACCTATTCCCATCAAGACTTATACATTGTCGAGTCAAGTGTAAATTATTTATCAAGCCTCTTACTCTGATAGAAAAGAGGTCGGCTTAATCCTCTGGCTGCAAACTTCACTTAGCATTATGTCAGGTAACGATTGGAAACCCTCAGTAGCTGCGTCTCCTCAAGGTAAAAGAACTCATTAACATCTAAAATGTTCATCAGCTTTGTCAGTCAAGAGTTTTTAAAGTCATATTAATCTAGACAGAATTACTTCACAAAGAGATTTTTATACCTCAACCCAGACCGCCGTCAGGGCTGGCTTCAAACCACTCAGTGCGAAATTAAAATACGTTTTGTAATCCATCTATCTTATCAATATAAACTATAAACTCTGAAACATATTTGTGGTTTAAAAAAATGCAAAAATGAATTCCACTTTGAGCATGAAGTACAGTTTTAATTAATTTTCTCATTTAGGTCAGCTAGACTTCATTTTTATGTGTGTAACGATGTTTCACTTTTTACTTGAAAGGCTTCTTTGGATCTAACTGGGCGATTGAGAGGATCATCTGAAGGTGCAATGAAAATGAACTATGGAGAGGAATCGCTTGATTTTGCTGCTCCACTGCTAGGTATCAGTGATTGGTCAGGCGGAAGTTAACTGTGAGAGCTGACATATTTTTTTAGATTTTTTTTTATATAAGAAAATGTATAAATACTGACCTCTGCAGACAAGGAACAGCCCACTTTAACTGCAGTTTTGGTGATGTTCTGACCTGGTTATTGGTTCATTTTGGCTGATTCGAACCAAATCGCTATTGATGGCAAAATGTTCTGTTGCTGACAGACAGTTACTACAGTCACAATTTCTTTTGCTATAAACCTTAGCAAAGAGCTCCAGGATTCGTAATAACAAAAGCTTTACACAGACCCGACAGAAAGATCTGCATCAAATCTATAATCATAGAGTTCCTATGCTTAACTCTGATTTCCACAAGGGCATGGAAATAAATCAACATTAGAGTCAACTGCAAATGCTGTTTGCTGTCTGACACGGCCCCTGAATTAGACTGGGTACAGTGGGATTAAGAATGTGTGATTTTCTATCTGAGTCTGAGTCTGTTGGTTTCATCCTGTCTTTGGTACTCTGAGACCAGAGATCTCGATGCGGTATTAATCTGTAAGCGGAGGCTCAGGTGTGGGGATTTGGGTTTCTGAGTTCAAAGAGAGCCGATTCTCTGAGTACATCTGTGCATTCTTCTACTGCCAGTCTCCACCCCCCCACCTCCCTCTCCACTCCCTCCCTTCATGTCAGAGAAGCAGTAGTAAAAAACTGCCTGGAAGCTTCTCAAAGAACCTGAGTCTGCTTTGATCCATCCTTAAGGTCACACATACAAAGCCACAGACCTAAATATGTTTCTCATATTCATCTAAACACACACGCACACACACGCACACAAAAACTTTGACTTTATGGATTGAACCTGAATCCTTTAACTCTTCCTCTAAATTATTTCCACATGAAATAACTGTTACTGTTTACAGGCTGTTGCAAGCCCTTCAAGAGTTTCAACAATATGAAAGCAGTGGTTTCTGAACTCACACCTGGTGCGAAATGTAAACATGTTTTGATAATTAAATAGTGAGAAAGTAGTCAGGTTTTGCACCTCGGGTGTCAGTAAACGCACATTTTGAAACGAACAAAGAGACACAGTAGGAGAAACAAGAAAAAAAATATTTTTTATGTTCTAGGTCTAAAAAGCATATTTCATAATATTTCAGATTGAAGCCTGAATTTCAAGCTCTTTCTATTTTAGCCATTCTATTATAGATTTATGGCTGTATTTTGGATTATGCTTCTGAGGCATTATTAAATTTTGACCAAGGATTAGCCGAAATACAAATGGTCTGATATTTGATCCGGGATGCTATGTTATATAAAGACGTTATAATCGACCCAATGACAGCAAAATACCCAGATCGCTTAGCTTCAAATCGAGCTTAAATCACCAGTCCTCCACCAACATAATTGACTGTTTACATGAGAAGTTTGTGTTTATTTTTTCTAAAGTAGTGCTGTCCATTATTTACATACACATAATCTGCCCTAAAAAATTTGTTCCAGAAATCTCTTAGTCTACTGAGATACAACTTTGCAAACCAAAGTAACACTTTCCTGTTTTCTGAACACAGAAAGCAAGAAAAATGGACTAGTTATTGTTTTGTGCTACACAGTCATCACTCTTTAAACATCTGAAGAATCTGAAGAAAACAGCAATGACTTCTACAACCCTCACTAATTCGCTGTTTAACAGTGCAATTTTGATCACTTCCTTGTCTCCTACCTAAACCATGTGTGGCATTTAAATCTGGAGTTGTTTTTCCTTTCAAGCCAATATTCTGCATGAGACTTGTTTCAAAATTCTGAGTCAAGAGGCATTGCTCTCTTCCTTTTCACAAACCTTACCCACTTTACACCACATAGCCAGATTCCTAGGGAAAATATGGACGCTCACGCAACCACCCTCTGCACGTTTTTTTTTTTTTTTTTTTTTTTTTGCGTATTCCTATTGGTGACAAAACAGTCTTTTATGTTTAAAAAGATAAATTGTAAATTTTGTTGTTCAAAATGATGCATTGTTGCTTCATATACAATCACATGTTGGCACCCCAATAAAGAACTCTAAAGAATGCAAAAACATTTTAAAAACTTTTAATTTGAATAGCTTTAATCACAGTGTTTAAAAGTGATACAATAACTTGCAAGACTTGTTCTAAAATAAACAAGTAAGCTAACCTTTTGTTTTGTCACTTTTGGTTTCCATGTGGTCTAAATATCAAGAAATGGAGATTTATTTCTCTTAGTCACCCTACCTTTCAGTGAATGAACATTTCAACATTACCTTACCACTACTCACAGAAAGGAGGATCCATGCCAGATGCAAGATATATCTAAAGGTCATTGTTTCAGAACTGCAGCACATACAGATATCTTGAGTCAGCAACAAACACTGCAGATCTGATCTGGCATGCAACAAAGGGCGATAATGTGAAAAAGCAACCAATGCACACTGTTAAGAACAGTGGAAGATTTATGATGTTATGGGTCTGCTTCTATTCCAAAAGACCATGCAAAACTAAATTGTTTTGGAAATACCAGGAGATGTAGTATGAAAAACCTTTGTCTTTGTCAGAAAGCTTTACATGGACCAACATTGGGTCTGTTGGAAGAATGATGATCCAAAACATATGACCAAACCAACACAGAAAATTTCTCTTTTTTAATTGGTATCTCAGTCCTGAACATAAATATTACAGAAAACATGTAAAGAGAAAAGAGTACATGATCCCTCCCTCTATAACCTCCAACATTGTGAAATATGGAGGACAGGACAGAGCGGCCCGATTGACAAAATTGAGGCAGTTCAAAGTATTAATGTAAGAGGCATATTTGTGGAAAGATTCTATATTTAAAAAAAAAAATACAATAGTTTCTTGAGAAGTGTTATTGACGCAAGAGGAGAAGAACCTCACCTGGTGTAGACGCCATTCTTCCGACAGAAAGAATTTTTCACTGACAGCCGTCGGTTGTTAAGCTCCAGAGCGGGGAAGCGACCTTCATCCAGACTGACCATGTCGCCGTGAGTCAGAGCATTGCAATTGGAGTTGTTACCTGGACACACGTACAGAGACACTGTGTGACCACAGGCAAGGGGGAAACAGGGAGGTTAGTGTCATGGAAGGCGACATGGAACTGATGAGTGCTTGGTAAAATACAGAGGGTTAAAAAAATGAGCAACAAATGTGTTTGCATGGGAAGTTGTTGAAAAGTCCCAAAAACGTCTTGAAATTTCTCAATCTTGAAAATATTTTTCAGATTATTTCTCAGTATTCTGATTAATTCACTGCAGTTTTTTTTTTCTTTGCTTGAAACTACAGCGAAAGTTCACCTTCCAGATATCAAGCTGTAGCCATACCTGATCTAAACCATTTGGTTTAGATCAAAACAAATTAATTTTGTGGGAGAGGTCTAGTCAAAGTCCATAGAAATATTTCCATTTTGGCATCAAAGTGAGAAAACATAAACAAATATTCAACTTCCCAGGCACTATTTTGCTTACACAATCACTTGAGATAAAAAAAAAAAAAAGATCAAGAACAAATTTAGAGTTATGATCCCTTTCACTTTTACTCCTTAAGTAGCAACTAATAATCATAAAAAAATAAATAAAAAAACTTGATTCTTGTTAGTTCACCTGGAAGAGGGAACAGAGTGGACTACCAATTTATTTCCCCAAAGAAAGAAGAAAGAAACCATTGCTCTCTCTTTCTCCCTGTTTCCAGCTTTACTGCGCTGGTTTAACCACTTTCCACCTGTAACCTTGTAGCAAACAGACAGCTACAAGAGTGGGATCGATTTTCACATCTAAGTCTCAGCTAGAAGGCAGACAAAACTGCCTCCCAAGACATCTCTCGGATTTCTTTTAAATATGAGTCGTTTAAGGTAAGCTTGTAGCACGGCTAGGGTGGGAGATGAGGTTCTGAAAAATAAAATTTGTAGCTTTTTTGTGTAAACATAGTGGAAAAAAGAATATAGAAAACACATAAATAAAACTGCACAACTTGCAACGCGATAAGCTACGAGTTTCCACATTTTAGTGGTAGATAAATGTTTTATGCAATACTGCTTCCCATTTGTTAGGTTAAAAACACTTTCTCAGTGTCCCAGCAAAGCCTGCACCCTCATGTCTGGTGGAGGCTATTTAAGGTCAAGAAGGGGCTACGCAAACACAGTGAAAAAGAAAAATGCACTTGGTAGGTCCAGCACAGCCCAGCCAGATTCTAGACAGAGGCTTTGAGAGTGTCTTTGTGCTGGAGTGAAAATGAACTTTTTTTTCTTTTTCTTTTTTCTGTCAGATAGAAAGATGGGCAGTGACCCGCAGGGACCCCTCCCCTCCCCCGCCTGGCAGCCAAATAGGCCCCTGAAAAACTGCTGAGCTTAGGGGAAATACCAACTGATGTCAGAGCTGCTCCGAATGGACAAATAACCCGCTCCCCACCGCCACCACCACAATTCCAGTTCAGTTCTTCCACCTCTATTTTTTTCCCCCGGAACCACAACTATTAGACTATGGTCAGATAACTTTAAAATGAAAATACAGCCGAAGGAAAAACATTAAAGTACACCTTCTAAAGTTTTAAACATCAGAGCAAGCAAACATAATCCAATCTTTATTAGTACTTATTAAATTTAGCCTGAAATGTTACAAAAAACGTCATTAATATTGTTTATTAGCAGAGCAAACTCTCACTAGTCATTTTCTGCCTGACTTCATCAGTCTTTTATATTGTTATGGAACTTTGAGAGAAGTCTCCCATGCTAGCGTAACAATGTAACATAACTTTATCATTTAACTTGCTACACTTTGTACAATCTCTTGTTTTTTTGGCAATCTTAGAATAACATGGCCGTTTCTTGTGAAAAGGTAACAAAACGGAAGGAAAACATTGTAAGTCTATGACTCCCATCCTAACTTTAAAACTATCTTATGAATAACCTTACTCTGTGATGGAAATCATTATAACTCTTTCCAGATTGATGAGTGCCAGCAGTTGCTTCACAACGGCTATTGTGAATGTCTTTCCTTCTTAGCTTCATCTTAAACACTTGTACGCTTCAGATCAAGTAGCTGCAGAAATCGATGTGATCAAACGTGCTTATTATAAAGAAATCAACGTATTTGACTTGTAATATTTATTTGATGTCTTGGCAATCAGAGCTTAAGAGGCAGCAAGGGTGTACTTAGTTTTCCCACACACAGCTTTTCCATTCTGACGTCATATTTGTCTTATGAATAATATTTTGATAGATTTTAAATGTCTTGTGATGTTAAATTTCTCAAACTGGGAGTTCTTTTTAAAGAAGTTTCATAGTTGTAGATCACTTTAATAAGGGGTACAACTTTCCAAGAAAAATAATTAAATAAAGTCAGGTCCTATGAAGCAAAATGTTTTTTTATCACAGATGATTGGTAAATTTACATCCGCTCACCCGATTCTGACTTCTTTGCATATTTTTTGCTCTGTCCTCTAATGATGAGGATGAAAACCAGCAGCAGGATGAAGATGAGCCCCACCAGCGCAACGACGACGAGGAACCACCATTCCTCGTAAAACGGGGCCACTTTCTGAGCTGAAAGAAGAGTGGAAAATTGGAATTCACGCTTGTTAGGAACGTACGTGGTGTGTTCCTGTGAAGTCTGGAAGACCTCAGGGAATTTTAATTAAGTTTGAAATGTAATTTAATTCACTTCATTCAGTTCTATTAACTAACAGAAAAAAAAACTCACCAGATATCGAGGGAGACGGTAGGCTTGGAGAGCCGTAGCCATAGTCGTTCACTCCGATTATCCGAAAGTCATAGCTAACGCCTTGTTTAAGCATATCCATGTTGAATGTGTGCGATGTTGCATCCTTAGGGATATCTTTGATTATGATATCCCACAAACCCTCATCTACAAGAGAAATAAAAAGTTTACTTCAACAAAACAAAATACAAAAAAAAAAAAAAAAAAAAAAAACAGACAGAACATTTATTTAATCACCAAAGCTTTTAAAGCCTGTAACAGCATCACTGACAACATGTTATTTGTTTATTTTTGATATAAAGCTCCTGGCTTGCTTGCAACTCTCGGGATTAATTGATAATTCCTTCAAATATTACACAATCCATCAATTTTACAGCTCTCCTAAAAATTTACAGCGACCAAATCAGCAACACTAACAGCGGCGCGGCCATCTTTCAAATGAAGCGGTTCGCCGTGGACATCTTGTCTGACATCGTTCATTAAGTGTCACTGCTTGTAAATATCAATGTAAACTGTGATGCTTTTAACGGGATACGCAAACATAAACAAGATGCAAAAAAGCTGGTGGACTTTGCAGATATCCAGCGCTGGAATCAGCAAGGCTTTTGAATTGCTTTGAATGCGGCCTGGATATTCACACTCAACCATTCCCTCAACTCTATCACACTGTCTCGTCCACATTCTTTCTTGTGAGACACCAAGCATCCATCAAATGGCGAGGATGTGTCAATCACAGTTGAAACAGGATGCCAATTCTTCCAGATGCACTGACCAAATCAATAACGCATTAAAATATCAAGGGCGTAGACTCGGAGGCAGCAAATATTGACTTTTCACATGACTTTCTGGATGCTCAGTATCACAGGTGCTAGTATAAGGTTGGTTTACGACATGCAGGATTTTTTTTTTTAGATTAATATATTCCCATCCTATTCTGAACCTTGCCTATTGTTTAGACAAGCGTTATGAATGAAGACTGAAAAAAACAGTCTTCATGTACAAGAAGCTGGAATAATCTTCCTAATACGTTAATCAATAACATCCACACAAATATTATGAAAGGGAATTTATACATGAAAGCATTTTTAGCTTGTGATAGTTTGTCTTCATTGTTATTTTAAATTACAGAGCAATGAACACTTTTTACTGTTATTGACATTTTTCTTGCATGATTCACGTTTTCAAACCACTGCTGACTTTTGATCCAAATAAAAAAAAAATTAAATGCAGCTGGAAAACATAAAGCAACAGTCTGCGTGTTTTTAATAGGTTGGAAGAAGCAAAAGCTTTCTCTGCCTTCCAAAAGAGCATTTTGCATGTGGATAAAAGGTGAAAATGTCTGTTTTAGTTTTGAGATTCAGCATGGCTCTGGTCTGAAAATCCCCACCTGAAGGTCTGGCCTCGATGACATAGCGTGTTATAGGAGCACGTCCTGGGTCACCGCCTGTCCAGTGAATGGTCAGGCCTGAACCATAACGTGTTATAAAAGGCTCTCCGGGTGGCCCTGGGGCTCCTAAAGACAAAGTTGAAAAGGACAAACACGAGTTTTTATTTTTAAAAGAAGTCATCTGGAGTAGCTAAAAAGAGCCAATAGTTATCTAAAAAAAATTCAATTCATCCCAGAGCTGGGTTATCTCAAAAGAAAATTTTGTGAATCTTAAATGCCTTCAAATTGTGATTTTTTTTTTTCTGACAGTTTAAGCCAACATTATATTTTTTGTGTTTCAGCATGTAGTTTCCTCCACAAAGGCTGCTCAATGTATTCATACAACAGTTTAGACTCTCTTATCTGCATAACTCATACAGATGAAGTACTCAGAGTTCAGAGTGACAAAACTCATACTGATAAGTAGTAGGATATGTATGAAGAGCAACATGGACATCATCTGTTTGTAAAACCAATTGTTACAAAGTAAACAACCATCTCATAAATAATTGAAAGGGGTGTAATGGCAACAAACTGCAGAAAGTTTTCCAACCAAATACATTTAGGAGGATCCCCAGCCCCCACATTAAAATTAACTCTCACATTAAAATACTGTTTCTCAGGGATTCAAGCAGGCCCTTTACTCTACCTATAACATTTCCATAGCTAGAGATAATGGATTTAAATAATTCATTGTTTTGCTTTTGTTCTGCCTTTATATCAGTAACCACACAATAATTGGACAATTTGTCATCATCATTTATAACCAATACCTTAGCAGCATGATGTCCTTATGTTCAGGTTTCTTCCACATTGTTTTTTAGAGCGTGCTCAGCTGAGCACGCTCTAAAAAACAGATCTTGATTGATTTGTCATCTTATGAATGTTTGTAACCTAATGGATTACTTTCACCCATGATTATGCACAATGAAAACTGCTCATGTGACTCAAAAACAAAATTAGGCCGTTGTGGTGGATCGCCATCGATGTCTGTGTAAAAAGCCAGCTGATGCAAAGGTGCATGTTTCAGGCATTAATTTAAGCTGCTTAGGTCGATTTATGGCGCTAAAGTATTTATGGCTCACAACTACTCCACACACTTTCATTTCAAGAGAACCAAACTCCCTTTTATTCCAAAACAAAATCTGTGACAACTACCTTCGCCTGGCCCAGTGGTGATGTTAGCCTCCACCTCTGGCCCATAGATAAATGTCTTGGCCCGGATACGGAAGTTGTATGTGATGCCGTCAGCCAAGTCTCTGAGTTTCAACCAGAGGGGGCCAGTGCCCTTCACGTCCACCATAACTGTCTTACTGACGCCTGGGGGGGAGGGGGAGTGAAGACAGTCGGCACAGGCCACTGAAGAGTCTGGACAAACAAACCACATTTAGAGCAGGTCTTCCACAGGCAAGGCAATGGGGCAGGACACTCAGCACAGCCAAATGAACACACACATGTGTAATTATGAAGATTTTAGTTGCAATTTATGCATCAAGTCTTGTGCGTTATTTGGAATGAAAGCAGTTAATTCACAAATAGCTGCAGTAATGTGCAATGGCTTGAGTGAGATAAATACACAATGCTCCACCCGCAGTCAGTGATAGCAATACATTCCGTCCAAAGATTCACAATGTAAGTCAATGGTGATTCAGTCAAAATCAGTAAGAATACGAGCTTACCATCCACAGGTGTTAATGGCTCATAAACCAGACGGTAGCCTTCAATGATGCCATTAGGGAATGTGGGGTCACCCCAGGACACATTGACTGAGGTGGTGGTCAGCTCACTGAAGTGAATGAAACTCGGCGCACTCGGAGCTGGAAGGTGCACAGAGTCACAAAGTCAGTATTCTAGGAATTTGAAGGTCTTTAGGAGACAAAACTTTGGATGTAATCAACCACAATGTGACACAGGGATGTCTCTGTACAAAAGGGTTAGGCTTATAATATAATTATTCACACAACTGCTCATATCTGAATTTTCACTCATAATAACCTACTTTCCTTCAATAAACTTAAAATTAAATTGAAAGAACATGGCTTTAGCCACAACCTTTTAGCCCATCCAGATGGTATAGTGATCCTTCTTGGTTTGCTCAAAAGAAGCTTAAATGGTTGTCAATACATGCAAAAGTATATTTTCCTTTACTTAGTTTATTTAGGCCCTGTTCTTTATTAAAGTGTTGTCTAAAACATACTTTGTTGCATTTCTGGCTAAAATTACATTTACACAATAGCGGAGTGAATACTGTATTTCCCAGACATGAAATGCATAATAAAGAAGAAAAATACATATAAGACGCACTGGAGTATAAGACGCATTTTTGAGGGAAATGTATTTGATAAAATCCAACACCAAGAACAGACATGTTATCTTGAAAGGCAATAAAAACAGAACAGAGGCAACAACAGTACAATGGTACAGTATGCTAACGTTACATGGCAAACAAAGAACTGAGAACGTGCCTGGTATGTTAGCATAACATATTAAGAGTTATTCAGATAATTATGGCATAAATAACATGCTAACAAGTTTACCAAACCATCCGTGTCTCTCCAAATCACAAAACGCAATGAAATCTTCGTCCTCGATGTCGCTTGTAAACAACTCTGCTAACGCCAAAAGTAGAATAATCCAGGCCTAGAGCGCCCTCTTGCGGTTTAGAGTGAAAATAACATGTGATATGATATAATGTGTTAATTTCCACACATAAGTCGCTCCGGAGTATAAGTAGTCGCACCCTCGGCCAAACTATGAAAAAAAAAACTGTGGCTTATAGTCCGGAAAATGCGGTATGTCATGTCCAGTGACATATTCTGGACATGTCACTGGAAATGACATAATTTCCAGTGACTGGAAATGACAAATCCAGACATATTCAGTCACTGGACACATATTTCCGGAGTCACTACATATTTCCAGTGTCACTGGAAAACGCATTTCTGAGGTTCCATAAAAATAGTGACTATTGAGTAAATCATTCAAACGTAAATGTAAATGTTGGAGCCACTGAAGATAAATTGTTTTCATTCTTGCTCTTTCCTTTGGTATGAAGACTGTGATGGAACAAAAAAAGAAGAAGAAATGTGAGTCATGATCAAAGTCTGCCTCTGCTCTGTTGAGTTTTGAGACTCTCACAGAGGAGAGAGGAACCAGAAAGTTTTGATCAAATGGGGTAATGAGGAGAAGCCTGATCTGGTTGTGTGCTTTGCTTTCTTTGTGAAATTTTGAAACTGATACATTTCACCAAAGCTTAATTCTATGTGGCGCAGAACAAAGTATTAAAAAAACATATATATATGAAAATTGATTATATAAATGAAGACACAGTAAGCATGCATATTTTAAAAGCTCTTTCAATGTGGAAAAATATTGGCAAGAACTTCTGCAATCTTAATTCCAGAATGGAAAACACATTATTTGGTCTCATAGGTTCTGCAAGGAGGTTACTGTGATTGCTTAAAGTTGGTATCAACCCAAAGTTAACACACCAACACCACTCTGCGTATTTGCCGAAGTGCAGTGATAACAAATCAGTAAACTGATCTGCAGTTTTAAACAATTCGATGGCTGGATTTTGTCTCTGCTGTTTGAGAGGAACTGCTGTAAAACTATGTGTGCCTCAGCTGTACAACTTCAAGTTAATGGTTTTCAAGAGAGTCGCTGTCCACGTACACAAACTGAACAGCACTGATTGGGTCAGGTCCACAGTTTTGTTAAAAAATAAAAGCAAGTTAGAAGTCTCTGGCTCTCACACACAAAAAACATCTGACCCAGGTCACAGTAATCCTCCAGACCCCATTAAGACTGTTACAAGCAGCCTTGTAGGAATCTACAGCATTTCCAGTCTATGTAAGCCCTCAATTGTTTCCGCTATGTTATAGTACGTTTCATTGGAAATTTATATAACAGACCAGCAAAAAATACTGCATAATATTTAACTGGATGAAAAAAAAAAAACATGGAATGTTATTTTTACAATAAAAAATAAAAATAGTTGAATTTGCAATTGAACTCTGATAGCTCTTATTATAATATTAAGTATAATATTACAAATTTGGACAAATACGGAGACTTTTGCAAGTCTCCGTATTTGTCCTAAATTTGTCAAACAGGAATTGATGCTCTTACAAGATGCACTTTCTAAAAGGTTGGGATTGTTATCTCCCCAATGTTTTGTCCTTCACAACTTCCAGCTTTTCTCCTACACAAGCAGAAAGAAGAAATTTAAACATCTTTTACTTTTTGGCATTTACATTTCAGTCTGACAGGGTGAAATCAAAACAGCTCCCTTGATGCTGGGGAGATTAAGATAATTGTAATGCATTTCTGATTGGGGTACAACAAGAAAGTCCACTGAGTCTGAATAAGATGAAAAAAAAAAAAAAACGGAAAGAAAAGGGATGGTGAGATTGTAGACACAATACCTGTAAAGCTACTTTCATACAATCTCCAAACCTGAGATAGTTTTTACAGAATGAGTCAGCTGATTTGAAACTTATGCTCAGCATGTGGCTCTGCTAACACTGTTTGACACGCTGACAGCGGCGATTAGCATCATTGTCATTTCACATTCTTGCCTCACGGCTGGTTCTGCTTTGAGGAAACTCTGAGGGCTCTTCAAACCAACAACAGCGCAGAACAAGGACTATTGAATGAACACATCCATACAAGTGTTCTAATTTATCTATTATAGTCATCCTATCAACATTTGTCTCCAGCTCCTTTTACGGTCTTTCCAAAAGAGATATATTTGCTCTGTTCTGATCATACTTATCCTTGGGCCCACTGATTGAAGAACTTAAGAATCTATCGAAAGACATAGATGCTAGTCTTACCAGCTTGCTGAGTACGTCCCCTGGTTGGAGGACTGCGGGGTCCGTCACCGGCAGCGTTGAAGGGAGCCACACTGATCATGTATGTGGTGTAGCCAGTCAGGTTCTTTAGTTTCACCCCCCTCTCTGGCATGAAAAGTGTCCGCAGTCGCTCCGTCTCATTCTTACGCTGGAACTCCCAAAAGTAAATCTAGAAGGAATATCGCATGTACTTAAATGTTATTTAGTGTATATACAGCTGTTTCTGTCAGAAAAAAGCTAATATAGCTTCATAGAAACCTAGTTTTATTTCCAATGGCTCATTACATAGACAGTGCTTCCTTAGACTGAATTTTGAAGAATCTTCCTGATTCTACAAATAGTAAACTTTCAGTCACAATTTTCACAATGAAGGATGTGATTGTCACAACCATTTTGTTAGAAATAGTGAAATTAATGATCACAAAAAAGATTGAAATTTTGAGTTTCTGGCCCATTGATCAAGCATACCATTTGGGTGATTGTGGCAACCAGCAAAGGTCTTAATTATACATAAGAGTGAAAATCTAATGATTTTTCTTTATTACATCATTATGTAAAGCATAGCATACATAACTGGGGCAGTAAAACATCCTGTCAACACTTGACAGGATGGGAATCTGACCTTGTAGCCCTGGATGTCACCATTCTGTGCATTCAATGGTGGAGGGTCCCATGTAATGTCCAACTGAGTAGCTGTTGCTGACTGGATGGCAACATTCTGCGGTGAGGCTGTGGGGACTGTCGCAAAGAAAAAAAAAAAAAAAACAGTTACAAGTGAAAGTTTTATTGACATATAGATATACAAACAGGAATCAAGAACAAAGTATTTTAAATGTACTAACAGTATTTATTGAGGTATGTGCTTGTAAAATGACAAAATGTCTGAAAGGTTACTCAAATTATCTCCATCTTTTGGCATTTTTCTTAAATGTACACTTATTTCTCAAATAAAATGTGTTGCAGCTTCATGTACATGCATTCCAACACTCAACTGTACCCCAAATATACTCCTGACACATCAAAAGGGTTTGTACAATATCATACTAATCTGCAACTCACAAAAGTAACCAAAGAAGCACACATACCTGCCTCTCCAACAAATACCTCCTGGGGTGGGCTGCTTGGCCCCTCGCCCACAGCGTTGAACACACTCATGCGTATCTCATAGCGCTTGTGTTTACTTAGCTCTGCAGCAGAAGGAAACAATTTCACATGTAAGGTTATGAGGTAACAAACATTAGTTTGAACTATATGGGTAGCCATTTCTCCTTTTAACAGGTCAGTCTGATTGTACATTCACTGACAACTGGCCAAACAATTTAAAATAGTTCTGCAACATAGCAAAAGGTGGAGAGAGTGCAGCGGTGTGAATGTTTGAGTATGGATTAACTTTCTGACTGATAAAAAGCATTTGTATTAAGGCAAGGCTGCTGTCACCAGCCAAATATTTTAATTTAAATTAACACGTTTTTATTATGGTTACTGGAACCATAAAAAAATTCAATAGAAAATAAGATTTTGAATCATATTTATTTGCCAATTTTATCTGTGTATGATTCTGTTTTTATGGTGCCGTTTGTGTGATACAGAAACTTACTGTCCAGTTCGTACTGAGTGAGAGTTGGATCACTTAGATTCCGGATGGTGTAGGGGGCTGAGAGAAAAACAGAGGCAATTAAAAAAACAAAAAAACACTGGGCTTATCAAGAGGAACAGACATCACTGTTCAAAGTCCAGCGCTTTCCCTGTTGATTGGAGCAGTGCTGTTTTCATACAACCCACCCTAAACAGTCCCAGAGATCATGGCCATAAATTAGCCTGCGAATGACTCAACAAGAGTTAAATTACAGGCCGTGCTGCACAGAGTGGTGAAAACAGAGTGCCTCCTGAGTAAACCTAATAATAGCCGGTGGCTGATAACCACTGATCACAAGATGAAATGTTTTGCTGTGAAGTGTCAAGACCATTGGGGATATGTTGGCAACAGAATGGGCCTGTGTGACAGTTTTCCTCTAATGGAAATAATGGTGCTGCTGACATAGGAATAATCAGCCAAGACAGAGTTTTATAATTACGTGTTACTGGAGTAAAGTGTGGAAAGCGCACCTTTCTTTGAATGAATCTGTATTTAGAATTTCTCTCTGCTGCAGGTTCATAACCAGTCTTTATAAAATGCATTACAGACGGTCTTTTAAAAGAAAAAAAATCACACAATACATATCTTAATTCTAGGGTTTTAATGTACCAGGGTATAATAATGTGAACTTTTTTTAGAGGTAATTTTTTTTATAACCAGATTTTACCACATCAATAAATATTTGAAATAAAAAAGCAAAATGGAATGGCTGTGTGTTTGCTTAAAGATTTTATATTATTAAACAAATGCACTTGATAAGCTTAATAAGCTTTGGCATTTTACTTATTAAGACAGCGCTAAGGTATAAAGCAAACATTCACATTAGACAAGTATGTGTTACTGTCCACTAATATAGGAATGGTTAAAGGCAACCACTAAGCATTTTATGTACAAGTGTAAAGCTGCTCTTAGGGTGTGGAATTGAACTCACATTGGTTTGCTTAACAAGAAGATATTTTCACTATCACCAATATGTCAGCAAAGCTCAGGTTTGCAAAGTTAAATCTGAATGAACCACAAGAACCGTGGAACAATGCCCTTTGTTAATGAGATCCAAGTAAAGATGTTTCACACATATCGCACAAGACCATGTTTGACGGAAACCAAACACAACCAACCACAAACACCTCGTATCAACTGTCAAGTGTGTTTGTGAAGGTGTTATTGTTTATTCTTCTTTTGCATTAAAGAATCAATGTGCTGCAATGGACAAAGTTCAGAACTTGGTCTTTTTGAAATGCTGGGGTTGTAGCAAATCTCTGCAAAGCAGGAATTAAAAGCTCCTAAATACTCGGGCTACCATGCGTGTTCTGTGATCTGTTCAGACTGCACGCACACTACCTGTGGACAGTCGAGTTTTACTAGTCGAGCCTTCCGATTTCCTACATTTCTTGTGACAAATTCCTTAATTTCCCACAATCCACATTGATGCCAGAAAAATTGATGAGCTAGATGGGCACCTATTCCTGTTTCTTCTCTACGAGGGCAGTCACTGCACACCTGTTAGTGTGCCACATAGTGTCAGTCTAGCTGCTCCTTGCGACTGTTTGCGTCGACTCTCAACCTTAGCGGAGTGTCGCACTCAAAACAGCTGGATGTGAACACCGTTTCCCGAAACCAATTACACGGCTATGTGTGGACATGTCCAAAGCACATTTGTATTGAGTAGAGTACAGGTGGAGTATGTTTGGACCTTTAGAAACTGGGTGCATCTTTTTCCCATGTCTATATGGTGTACACATTAATCAATCTCTGCTATTGCATACTGTGTTAATAAATGTTTCTCCTCACCGTTTAGCTCAGCCCACGAGGATAGACTGTTGACTGTGTGAATGTAATTGCGGAGACGGTCATAAAGCAGTTCACGGTAGCGAATCCGAAATCCCAGTAAGATTCCATTGATCTTCTCCTCAGCAGGTGGCTTCGAGGAGAAAAATGAGATGTTGAATAAAAAGGAAAAAAACGGCATAAACATCTGATTTTAATGTGAAATATAACCTAATCATCATATGAGTTGTTTCTAAATAGACATTACTAAAAGGCTTTTCAGAAAAAAGAAAGATGGTAAAATCTTTGCCTCTAAGAGAGAGCACTTTTGCACATGTTAAGTGATGTAGAGAAACCCCCCTTGGCTGAACATGAGTCAACAGGCCCAGAGGGAAAGGAAGAGAGAAAAACAAGCAACTTTCTATCCTCATAAACTCTACAAGTGTTCATGAAAGTAAAACTGTCTTTGCGTGCCTCCTGTTTTCCTCTTTATGAGCTGTTAATTCAGGTATGAGTGCAGCGGGAGGGGTATTTTTATATTACAGAGTGCAGCGTCTTACTGACAAAGTCTGTATTTTGTAAGTACAGGGTTTGGACTCTCATGGTCTCTTATTAGAGGTAGCTTTCTCAGACTTTAATTGATTCTGCAGTCAGTAGAAGAAGGGGAAAAAATCCGTTCTGCTGTCTGCTCTTACCTGCCAGCGGATCAGCACCGACGTAGTTGTGTGCGGCGTGACAGAGAGGATTGTTGGTGCTTCGTCTGGCACTGAGGCAATAAAAGCGAGATAGATTAGCTAAATTGACTTGAAAATGTGCACTATTCAGCCAGCTAAATCTGTCCACAAGCTGAGGCATTCATGGAGAGTAAACACACTCGGGAGCCAACACAGGAGAAGCATTGACCGCTGAGTTACAAATAGTAGTGGGAAAAGATCCGGAGCGATACATTTCTTTAGCTGGCTGTAGCACAACACGGCTGGCTTTTGTTTAGCAGAGATTTAAAGACAGCTCGGGTCTCTTGAGGAATCACAGATGGTGCACGCATTAATCAATCTCTGCTATTGCTAGCAGGGCCCACATCATGACAAAGGACTAATTCATGCAAACATTGAGCAGTGAAACTGAAAGAGAACTCAGTCAATGTTTTGTGACTCGTGCTCTACTTGTCTAATGTATTTAAAAGAAGGCCATTTATAAGCAGTTATTTTTTTCCTGGTTTTCAAGAATGTATTTTTTTATATGACAAAGACTTAAAAAAACTATCCCTAAAAATCATGGAGAGTGAGCTATGAAGCATTATTTGAGACTTTAGAAATGTCTGCTTTTGTCATTGGAATGAAAGTGAAATACTGTTTTCAAATGCTGATTAATGTAAATCTAAGCACACCAAAACGACCATAAAAAATACATGTATCTGCCTTATTCAATCATGGAAGGTTGTCGGTTTGTTAGGCCTCCTAGCAATGGCTCTCAAAACTCATTTATTCTCATTTTCACCATCTCATGGGAAAAGTCGCTATATAAATCTTTTGTTGTCAGAATTCATATTTGAGAAGGAGACTTTGAGGTCACTGCTTTGGTGCTGGGTGGACCTTGTACCATGAATTTGACATTCCAAACAAATCATCACTCTTCCTCGGTTTTTAACTGACTTTTGAACTCATCTAGTTTACTTTAATCCTTTTTTTATTATTTCTCAATTTCAGACATACTTATTTGAGCTAAAAACTAAAACAAAGTTGAGAAGAGTAAGTTGCAAAAACTAGGGGATGTGTCTTAGAAGGAAACATTTATGAAATCTAAAGATGACTGATGTTTTTTTTTACTCTTTTCTGCCTTCACCTAAACGCAGCTTTATACTTTTAACATTCCCAAAATAATTAAAATATAATATAGAACCTTACCATCCTGTAGAGTTGTGATAGCTTCACTCTCCTCACTGTACTCACTGTCCCCAATGTCATTAGTAGCTTTTACTCTGAACTGGTAAGAAGTAAAAGGTTTTAACCTGAAAAAGAGAAGTAACATTAAGTTCCTCAATATTATTTTAAAAAATTATAATATTTTGAATTATCAACATTTCTTAGAGATGTTGCTAAGAAATAACTGTCTGAGAAACTAACCACAGACAGAAAACCAAAATTCAGGGAAAGACTTTACTCAGAAGCTTTCATCTGAGAATCAAACTCTACCTGGACACTTTGTAGGATGTAGCCTCGTGGCTGACGGAGGCAGAGTGCACCGTCCAGTTGTTCTCAGGCAGCTCTTTCTGCTGCACGGTGTAGTAACGCACCGGGGACAGCCCGTCACTTCCTGGCTTCCAGGAGAGCAGCACATGACGGGCCTGAACATCCTTCTGAGGCACAACGGGGCGGCTGGTGGGCTGTGGTCGAGCTGGAACAACCGGAGGCAGAAGGAAGGGGAAAGAAACTGAGTTGAAAAAATGTTAATCGGGGTGGGGAGCCCAGATGGACGACAGGAACAGGATGAATAATCAATAATTTAAATAAGGTTCTCTGTTCAGGCTTCTTTATTGGTGGTGCTAAACCACATTTAATGGTCAACCTGACTGATTTCTCTTTCACCAGTTTATTTGCAGACCATTTCCACACTGTCTTACCATCCTGTAGACAGTGCAGGATGTTAAATGTAGGAGGTTAAATGTAATTTGACCTTTATCAACCTTTAACCTCGCTTTTCCTATGTATACAATATATTAGCCTTCATGCATGGATAATTTTATTTAAAAGGGCTTTGGAATAAAATCTTGATTCAGATGCAGAGATCTTAAATAGGTTTATCTGTACCAATAGTTATAGTCATGCTATTGATTATACTCATACAAATACAATTGTTTCAATTTGGGGTGCAACAGTTTGTAGCACACATTTCTTTCTACTGAAAACTGTGTGAAATTAGCATTTCCACAAATTTCTTTGTAAATGGCTATGCTGACACTGGTCTTGATAAATCACAATGCACTGTGGCTTCCCAAATTATCTAATCATTTATTTAAACTTGATGCTGGACATCAAGTAACTCTGACTTGTACCTCTCCACTCTTCCTGCATGATCTGTGACCCGGAGTTACAATTGAAATGTAAAATTTACATTCATTTCATAAGTGACCACTGAAATGAATGGTCCAGTTAGCTCAGGAGTAACAATATTAGAATTTCACTCAAATACATTAATTTAATGGCATGTTGATTGGAAAATGGCAGACAGGAAATACAAGGTGATTGGTTGATCAATGTGCCAAAGAAATGCTTTCCCTTACACTAATAGGATGGATGTGAGTAGCAAATTTTAGATTTCCTAAATCGTTTACCAAGTATAACGATTCTGACAGAAATCGCAGAGTAAACAATTATCCACATGCCTTGAAGAAAAGAGATAAATGCAGCATCAGAGTACATCTAATAAATACCTGCAGCGCACAGACTCTCTTTTTAGTAAACACATCTGCTCAGTGGACTGCTGACTGAAAAATTAATGACTAGAAGTGGAGGGAAGGCTTAGAGCATCTTCCAGCAAGTCGAGACATGTATCCATGACTGCTCGGTAAGCATAACTGCATTTAACACAAATATTGCTGTTATTGCTTTAAAATTGGTCTCAGTCATTACAAATTCATCGAACTTGAACCCAGCTTATAGTTCACACTTACCTCTTTTCTCTGTGGTCACAACTAGGGCCTCGGCTGCATCACCCCAACCTTTCCTGGTTTGGGCTGTGATGCGAAATACATAGACAGATTCCGGTTTAAGGCTGGTCACGGTATACTGACGAGTGCTGGGGTTCAGGACGTCTACGGTGGCTGCGTTGCTGTTAGTGGAGTTCAGGTGGTAAGTGATCTGGTAGGCTAGAGAGGAAAAATGAACAAGTGAAGCTACAATAAATATAAGTTATTTCATTTTCACCATCTTCCCTTGCAATAATAACAAACTAAAATTTTGTCCCAGATGATATGATTCCATTTACATCTGCCCTTGCCTGCTGCTTTGCTTTGTAAGACCCACTGTGGATTTGAAACCAAATTACATACCAGATGTACAACAAATCACAGTTGCACAAGAAAATCCCCAACAAGTTTAGGAGGGAGCCAAGCTCCCCCTAAATGTTGAAACATGACAAAATTTAATTTCCCCTGTTGGACATTGCCATGTCAGTTTAGTCAACAATAGCATTAGAACAATATGTTGGGAGTCATTCAGAACTACATTTGTGCTCCGCTTTGCTTTCAGGTATGTAACCTAAAGTAAGTGCAGTTCTAAATTCAGTCATGGTTTTTATCATCCATCTACGTTTAGAAATAAAAAAAAAAATCTTGAGTGTTACTAACCAAGTATGATGCCATTGGGCTGTGCAGGTGACTGCCAAATTAGCCGGACAGAAGTGGTCCGTACTTCAGGAAAGAGGATTCCAACAGGAGGTCCTGGTACTGCAGGAAAACAGCAGGAAACAAAACCCATTTGGCTTCAGTTCAAAACTAATGTAAATGTATATATACTTCTTATGTCTCCTAGATATAATTGTTTATAATTCTCCACAGTGCTATCTAAGCATTCTTTGCAGATTTTGGCTACTCTTCAACCAACAAGTAACTGTGAACTTTGCACAAAATGTAGATACATTTTGGTTGTGCTTAATATTGTTTTGTTGAAACAATTCTGAGAAAAAATATGCCATTGGAAAGCTTGATTATGTCCCTTCAATTGTGCCAAATATGGAAGAAAATGCATTTACTGACTGACAGGTAAAGTTGGGGGGGTTGCTGAAACATGCTAAATAGCTTTTGGTAGAAGTATTGTGATAATGTGGGGCATCGTCTCTCTCTCACTTGAACAGCCAATATATCAACAATAAATGAAACATATTGTAGCTTGCCGTCAATCTGTTTAAATTTTTTTTTCTGTTTTTGCCCTAGAATATTATATAAAATACAAAAGATAATACAGACTGACCGAACAGGGTATTTTCGCCAGTAGACTCATTCCTAAAGATCTTTTAGCAGAAAAACTAGCATACAGTCAATGATTCCTCTCTCATGGCTTCGTAAAAAAATTCCAGATAATTTTCTACTACATAACGATTCATGTTCCAATAGCCTTTATATGTCATAGATAATCCTTTTAGGCTGGACACTCGTCCATCTGTCCACTCTTCACTTTTCTCAATTTAAAGCACATTGCTGTAATCCTCAGTATAAGGCAGTAAGACCGGATGTCCATGCATGCATTATCAGTAGATGCCAATGTACCCGTATGCAGGGAAATGTGGTGCTGGTGCCTCTCTCCAGTGGTGATTGGGTGGAAATAATGATCCTTGCACACAATTATACCTAAGGGCAATTTAGAGTGAGCCACTAATGCTTGTTTTTGGACTATGGGGGAATACAAAACTCCGAGCACAAACTCACAACCCAATTTGAATAACTGGCTTGTACGATGCGAGTGAATATGTACCATCATCCAAAGTCCTCTCCAGGATTGGCGGAGAGCTCGGTCGTCCATCTCCAATCCGAGTGAAAGCCAGAACCTGGATCTCATACAGCACGTATTTCCCCAAACCGGTCAGCTGGACACTGTGGGAGGCATTCCCTTCCACCATCCAGAAACGGACAGCACTGTCAGAATCCTTCTCTTTATACATCACCTGATGCAAGGAAGGAAACCAGGAGCACAAGTTCAGAGGGAAGTGAATTTGCAAATTAGTGAAGACAAACTGACACTGTGCTGCTTTGCACCCTGCACAGAAAAGATGACATTTCTGCAAGCTAATTAGAGATTGTCTGGTCTTTCAGCAAATAAATAATTGGAGAGGTGCTCTTAAACATTAAAGCAGAAAAATACCTTATAGCCAAGAATGAGGCCGTTCCTGTCAGGCTCAGGAACTTCAATCCAACGCACTAGGATACTGCTGGAGGTGGTGGCAAAGGCGGATACGTTGGTGGGTCCACATGAAGGGACTGGAAAATAAAGAATGTGGGAGGTCAAAATCACAAGAGCTAATCAGTGTATTTACATTGCTGCAGTTTCATAAAAGAAGACATTTAAGTGTTTACATTTCCTTCCCAAAACGTTTTTAGCTAAGTTTCCACTCATCTGCAGACATAACAGCTAATTTGAAAAGATTTGTTGGAAAAAATGTGTTTTCTATATTTAAAGTCATATGTTTCCCATTATCCACATTCCCTCCATTCTACTCTACCCAGCATCTGCTACATTACAAGAAAGCAGAAGTGAGGAGCGGAAAGGCATTGTCTGAGCCTAAACTGAGGTGTGGTATATAAAAAGAGTCTGAGTGTGTCTGCTAATGAATTAAACATATGGCAGAGTGTGAACCATTGCTCCATACCTCTAATTTGACTACTAATGAAGATACCCTGAACAGATGCTCAAAATGCAGTTATGCAAAAGTTATAAAGGGGATTTTGTTTTTTCTTCTAGCAAAGTTGGAGCTAACAGGATATCTGTCTTTCTGCACTGAGGCATTCTTCACACACATTTTTCTTCTTTTAAAAGATTGGCAAGGTCACTCACCAGATTCCCTTGTCCTGCCTCTGACCGGCTGGCTCCACGGTCCAAACCCGATGCCATTGACACCCTGGACCCTAACTTCATACTCTGTCCACTCCTCCAGGTCTTCAATGGTGAATTCCCTTTCCAGGCGGTCAGTGACGATGTGGGTCAGACCACGGCCCTGTGAGCCAACGCGGTAGTACTGAACCCTGTAGCCCACTTGCTCTGCGTTCCCATTGTATTCCCATTCAGGCAGAGGCTGCATTGCATAAATATGAAAAACAAAAGTGACAGTGTTTTCTAGACATAATTTATCAGAACCATTGTGAGGATCAAGGAGAACACCAGTAAGGTCACGCATACAAATGTAAAAAAGTTTAAATTCTTATAAATGCTTAAAAGTTTAAGCTATAAACTTTTAAATGTAACAATTTTGAATTATTTCTAATATTTATACAATGAACACTACTACAAAATGCTGATTTTTTTTTCACTTTAAGATTATGCTTCTATCAGAAAAAGAAGAAATGATTTAAGACTTGTTTAAATACATGTTCCCCCGTGGTGCTATACAGTAAGTGTTGTCCATGTCACTTACCATCCATCGCAACCAGAGGCTGGTCTCGCTGGCTGTGCGAAGCGTGACATTGGCGGGGGCCATGTCTGGAGGAGCTGGCAGAGTCTGAATCTTTCTGGAAGACTGGCTTGGAGGACTACTTCCCACTATGTTTACTTGGCGCATCCGGAATCTAACATTTAGAAACATTGCGGGATCATTCTGAAAAATGCCTGACCAACCATTTCTATGCAGCTTGCATGTTTTAACATGAGATTTTATGCTTCTCAAGAGAGATCAAAGCCTTTGAATTTAAACACCGTATAAATATGGTGAGAGGAAACTTATCTGTGTTAATGCCTGATTGTGCGACAGAATAATGTGCTGTGTCCATGATGAAATGTAAACTGGCAGTAGTTATTAGAATGAAAAAAGCTACAGTTCCTATTGATCTTAAGGGACTGGCTCATTTAATTTGGTGAACAAAACGCGATCAGGGAAAACAAACAGACCGAATAAAAATAAGCATTATAAGCACAGTGAAAAATAACCAAATAGATCTTGCATTCAATTTAAAGACAAAGAAATTAAGATGAGCTCCAGGGATAAAAGAAAATTAGCTGAGCTCAAGGAGAACACGTGCACTTTAATTAGCAATTTTGTCACATTTTTGCACAATCTTAATTGGAAGAGAGCATGATGAAGAGATGCATCATTCCAAACATCTTTTTTTTTTCCTCTATAATAATACCAACTGCTCAGATAGCAGTAACAACTGAAAGAAAGGACAGCACAGTAGGTAGCAGGGTTGCTACTGAATTATTATGAAAACATGAATATTTTTTTAAAACTCAAAACTTCTGTGTAAAAGCATTCATCCTTGCACCCAAACATCACTTTTCATTTATGAAACTTGCTATAGATATGTCACATTTCTATCGTGAGCTTTTTTATTTTTATTTTATAGCTTAAAATGGACTGATTGCTCTAAAAATTTTAGACAATTATGTCATTTCTCAGTAAAGAATTGTTTTTTAAACCTGTTATAAAGGCAAATACTCACTGAGCACTTACTCTAGCAAGTAGAAACATTCAATACCCATCAGGATTTAAAAGAGGAGGGAAAAGAGGAGAGATTCAGCAGATTAGTGGAAAGAAAAGAACATGGAGAAAACGTGTAATGGATAGCAATGCAACATCTGCAAACCATCTGGCATCTGTCTGATGGTCTGGCCACACACTGTCTCTAATGACAGAGGGCCTGTAGTGTATATTGAATTGGTCTGGTGATTGTGACAGGGTATAAAGTCAGCTAAACAGTTTGAGTTACATTTTTTTTACAGCACAGATGGACAATCACCCATCAAATGCAGTCACAGGCTTCATGGAGGACGACATGAAGTCAGAGTAACTTTGTGTAATTTCACAACCAGATCTCAACCAAACCAGTGTGTTTGGCTTTGATGCAGAATGATGACATTTTTAGACAAAGACAATGAAGCAAATTTAAACTCTTCTTGTGCAGGGGTGAAAAATAATGAAATTAATTTTTAGGTGATTTTAATGTCCTCCATATTTCAACAAACCTCTTTCTTTGGAAATGCAACAGTCAAAACAGAGAATAATTGGGCTTGTGTCATCATTGTAAAGCCCTGCAAATCTATAGTTTATTCTATTTTATTGAAGCACTTCGTTTAATGTGCAATGAAGAAAAGCTGCACCTCCACCTTATTCTTTTTTGGCATCAGCTCATTACATACGTTTCCTGACTCTTTGACCATTCTCCTTATCAAAAATGATAGACTTTATTTAAAGTGTTGGTTTTCTGGCACTGACACAGCTTCTAAATATGGTCCATAAATTTTAATAGGGTTGAGGTCAAAGCTATTCCCGAAGCTGAACATAGCCTACTTTATCCATTGCAGCCACCCTTGGGAAGTGTTTGGGATTATTCTCCAGTTGGAACACCTGGACCACATCGTGCCCCAGTTTAAACAACCCAGTTGATGATATGTGGAGAAGTTGAAGAATTTGGAGGAACTCTTTCTTCATTATTTGATGCGATGCAACCACCTGCAGTGAAAACGTCCCACAGCATGTTGCTGTCCCCACCACGCTGACCCATGGTACTGTGTGGGCTTTTTCAAATTTCAGTAAAGTTGGAGGGTGTCGACTTTTGATCAGAGGTTTTTATAGTTATCAGCGTCTCAGTTCTTTCTGAGTGAACAGTGACCATGGTGTTAAATAATTTTCCAGTTTGGAGTAGGCATGAACTTTGGTTGTTCTTGGACTGTTCCTCAAAACTGGCCAATTTCTATTTGTCTGGGAGTGACAGTTTGGGTCATATATATTTGAAACTTAGCACCCGGGGGTGTCAGTCTGAATTGTGGTCCCAGATATGACTGTGTGTGTGTTTATTTTGTTTTTGTGTTCCCTAGCTCATGCCTGCTTTCAGATAAAAACTGGCACCAGATCAGGATTCTAGGATAGCAAAGTAAGTCAAGGTGAAATGTCGTGTGTTACCTGTAAAGAGTGTACGGATTGAGACCCGGCACCTCCAAAGAGCGAGCCTCAGGTTCATTTGACACCTGATGAACTGTCACCCACTCCTCATTTTCTCCTACCATCCCAACCTGCAAAGAAGACAGCAGAGGAATGGTGAGTGATCTCTGAAAGTCTCCGACAGTCCACCAGATATCCAGTGCCTTGCTAAAGTATCCATAGCACTCATACATTTCCACAAAACTTTGTCATATTACTGACAAAGTAATATGACACTGATTTGTCATATCAGTCACTGATTTGTTGAATCATTTTTTGACTGTATTTAAAGTTGATCATCTTTTTGGTCATATCTTCACCAGCTGCACACATGTAGATGTTGAAATAGTGGCCTGTTCTTTATAAAATTGCTCAAGCTCAGTCGGAATGGAAAGGGAACATTTAAAATGTACATTTCGAATTTAGATGAATTTATGTTTGAACTTTGGTCCATCACTAAGCCATTAATTAAACCATCTCATTGCAGCTCTGGCTGTGTGTTTATATATTGTATATATTTATATGTCCTATAATACACACACACACACACACACACACACACACACACACACACACACACACACACACACACACACACACACACACACACATATATATATATATATATATATATATATATATAATATATATATATATATATATATATATTTTTTTTTTTGTCAAAAAGCTCAGTATGGGTCTAATATGATGAGAAAACCTGCTATATGTTTGTTCTGTCCTTTATGTGGCTTGAGCCAAACTATACACATTTTCTTATGATCCAATTTTTGTGAAGAAAAACCAGGATTGTCAGGTTTGATTTTTCCATTTTCAGGTAACGGGGCATTTTGTCATAACTCTGCGATAAAATTACACTTAGACCTCTGAAGCCTTTACATAACAGCTGTATTGACAGGTCAATGTCAATGTCAACTTAATTTGCATAGCACATTTAAAATCATTCTCAGCCAGACACAACATGTATTAGCAAGATACCAAAGAAAGAAACACAAATAAAATATATAGAAAATCTCTACAACTATTTAGGAGAATGATTCAAACTCATCTCGTATAAAAGGTCAAAGGAAAAAGTTCATCTTTACTGGACTTTTAAAGATCTTTACTGACTGAGCACTGGATATCTGTAGGATGTTACAAGCAACTGTAAATGTCTGGTTGCTTGTGTTTTTTGCACCTTCTACTGCCCTGCTGAGTCCAGATGTATTAAGATTAAATTATAGATGTGAACTCTATTACTTAATAACACTAAGGAAGTTGTTTGACTTGATTTTATTTTTAAAAATCACACGAGAGAGGTTCAATGAAAATCATAACATTTTTTGTCAGATTTCCACCAACTTCAAAATTATTAGCAACTGTGTGTCGGTCCATCAAATAAATCTCAAAAAGATATGCTGAAGTCTGTGTTTGTTGCATAAAAAATAAATAAATTGATGCAGAAGGTGAAAACATTTTACTAAGGCACTGTATATACTTGGGAAAAGATAATCACGCATGACGGTTGTGTTTTTGAGGGTTTATTCTTGATTCACAGTTTTAAGCTTGTCTCACCTGGGCTTCTACCAGCCAGCGGGAAATGGATGTTTTTCCATCATAGCCGGGTTTGAACTGCAGGTTCACTGAACGTGGACCGATGTTGGTTATTGCAATGTTGGTGGGAGGTCCAGGAAGCTCTGTAAGAAAGCAAAGACAATAAAAAACAGAGAGAAAAAAAATCCCTTTTCATAAATTGTTCTTTGTTGACTTTCATATTAGGTGGTTCTTATTAGCAAAATTCATCAACCGCACTGCCCTCTTGTGGGGGTACAAATACTGAACACAAGTGGATTTGTCAGCCATTATTCTTATTTTTATTTATTTTACACCCCCCCCCAAATTCAGCTAAGACATTAAAGTCAAATTAGATTCGTAACAGTGTTTTATACACACCATACGGACAGAGACAAAGCTATAAAAGCCAATTACACGGGAGAGACGTGGAGACTTCATTCAATCTGATAGCATGATTGTTTACACTTGAGTTGAATAAACAATACAAATGGATTATTGACGGGTAATCCGGGAACGGAAAACAAATCTGGAAAGATAACTTTTGTGTGCGTCCATGTCAAAAGTTTTGATTCCGTGTCTCTCTAGTAAAACTTAAACTCTTTTCTCATGCCTTGTTTTTTTTTCCTCTAGACAAATAAAAATTAACCATTCTGTATTGAAATTCCAAAGCAGAATATAGCTTCCATGATTCCTAGGGAAAGGCATTAACATCAAACAGTGGTATATAGAAGTACCCTCATATTAAAAAGAAGATATGATCACTCCCCTTGGCATACTTAACATATTTTCCCCCTAAGATTGCTCAAATGCGAGTATATTTACTCTCGATGAAACACAGATTATATGTCTTGTGGTAAAATCACCACCTTGAAAATTATTTGCATGACAAATTATTGAGGTTGCTTTTAGCTCAATCGTTATGGTACAGTTGCAGGCACATAGGCGTTTTCTTTATGCACATACAATGGGGGTAATTGCCATTCTGGGGACTATAACTGCTGCACCGAAGTCTGCTCTCAATATAACAGCCTGTCATTTCCCAGATTTCACAGATGTATGGCGTCTGAATGCAGCTCCAGTAATTGCCACTGGCATTGTGCTCCTGTTTCAAGAGTTTGCAAATATGAAACCATTAAAGACTGTAATTGCCCCTAATCCTCCCATGAGAGCCAATATTTTGTGTGGGTGACAGATGTGTGTGTGTGTATTTATATATATTAGACACACAGACATATATATATATATATATATATATATATATTATATATATATATATATATATATATATATATATATATATATATAATATAAAATAGTTTATACTCTTTGTTTCTGTCCCAAATGTTGTGACAGGAATCAGAATTTATTGTGTCTGGTTGCAGTCGAAACATGGACCTCTTTCACCTGATGCAGTACGAAGCAGTAAATCTGAACCAAAAGGAAGTGTTGGGGAAACTTTCCAAGCTGTTTGTTGATTACAATGAGCAAGCCTACAATTCTGCCCTGTAGATTAGTTGAGCTTGGTTGAAATTTGTGATTGGACATGCAAGAACAAACTGCTCAAGAGCAGAGAAATGGGCAAAAAGGTAGTTACTCAGTTTTATTTTGCATTGTGTTTTTTTTCCCCCGCCTACAGCTTTTATTTATGAGTAACAAATAAGTCATGTCCTCGTTTTTATAACAGGTCATTGTCAGTATGGGTACACCTTGGAGTCTATAAATGCAACCATTCAATCTCAACGAAAGGACTCTCTCCAAATATTGAAAATTAAAGACTGATGGAAACTGATTCACTGAGGTCTGTTTTACAAACCAGCAATGAGAGGACACTTTAAAGACAAGTCAGTAAAATGTGCCATAAAGTTTCTGCAAAACCAACAAAAAAACATTATTATTTTTTTCTATTAAAATAATGAAATCCAATAATAAAGGGAATAGTTAAAGTAAAGAAATGTGTGCTGTGGGATATAGATAAACCGAAAAGCCCAACTTTACTGTAAGAGCTTATGTATGAACCACACATCAGCAAATGAGAAAATGTCTTTGATTAACCGATCATCAGAAAGTGTGTTCACGTTTAAAAAATTACAAGGTTTCACAGTTCACTGATTAACATGTGTGCCCGGGTGAAAGATGTCAGCATTGACCTTAGAGAATCAACAGTGGCTTCCCATCAACCTGGAGACAGTCAAAAAGCCATTTCCAAACTATTCTATCATTCTATGGTGAGAAAGATCATTCTATTAATCTTTACAATTTTTTTAAGCAGTTAGTAGGAGTAGCATTGATGAAATGTTTTTAGAATAAATTTATTACAACGTTTACATATTTGGTCACTGACCTGGTGGGACCCCAGAGGAGATGGTAGAGGAGGACAGCTGGCCTTGGCCCTTGGAGGTCATTCCTGCCACTTCGATAGTGTATGTAGTGAGAGCGGTAAGGCCCGTGACCCTGTACTCAAGGGTGACATTTGGCAGGTAGTGGGTGACTCTCGTGTTTGTCCGATTGAACTCCTCCCATGAAATGCGGTATCCTGACACAGCAGCAGAGACGGGTTAAACAGAGCATGAGTCCTTGCTGTGAAAATTCTGCGGTAGTTTTACAACAATGGCAACTCTCAGTTCGCTGCTGTGGGGAAAGCTAACAGAAATATTAAATTAACTTCATCAAAAATTGAATATAGCAAATTTAATCAGCAAGTGATTATACCTCCCCGTGCTCACACATCCTCAGCACAGACTCTCACACACACGCTCAACCTCTCAAAGTTAATGTAATTTGCTCCTTGGCCAGCAGCTCTTTTCATGTGATTGCATAAAGCATTAAAGCAGCATTTCTTGCCAAATCAGTAATCTCACATGGCATGTTGGTGTTTGTCTCTTAGGACTGTGCAGCACATTAAAATGTCCTGGGAAAAATTTTAAAATATATATATTCTTAAGGTATGTACATAATACTATGTATATATTTTTTTTATTATTTGTCCTTAAATAAAATAAACTTGCAATGTGGATGAAAAATGCAAAAATGCTCCTATCCTGTTACATTTTATCATCTTACACCTATAAACTTTAACATAATTGATTAGGATTTTATATGTAAGGTCAATGAAGACTAGTGCATTACTGTGAAATACAAAATAAATAATAAATGGGTTTCAAATAATCTTACAAATAAAAGTCTGAGAACTTTGGGATGTCTATGTATCAGTTACTATTCCATACCTGGCTCCTTTGTTTAGGGGTGTTGTGTAGCTGGAAGCAGAACCTTTGCCCCAGTGTCAAGTTCTTTTCAGTCTCTAATTGGTTTTGTCTCAGGAATGCTTGATTTTCCTGTTTTCTCTCACTATCTTACTGGTCAGATTTTCCACCTGGCCTGAAGACATCTGAAGGCATCTTTGGAGGTTCTCTAATTAATACTGTCATTTCCCAGTTTAGACGGAAAGCATGTGTTGGTAAAACTGTAGGTGTGCAACAATCTTTCCTATTTTCGAATGATGGATTGAACAGAGCTTATGCTATAACATGACACTGAACCAAATCTTTCCACTGGAAAAAACCTCTAAGGCTTTCACAGAACAGCTGCACCATACCGCATTACACTCTGTTCAAAATTATTATGCAAGTGATATTTTCTCAGATTTTCTTAAATGGTCAATGCAAATGATGGTCAGTATTTTTTTTAAATAAAAAACTCAAAATGCACTGATCCAAATTATTATGCACAGCAGATTTTCTAAATATTTTATGGATTATAAAGGACGTCAAATGGTCCTCAGAATAGACTGTAAATCTGTAAACAGATACATATAAAACTGGCAATGCAACTATTCCAACAACTTAAGAAGTTGTTCTTACATACTTCCACAACTTTATTTGTGACTTTCTCAAAACACATAACTCATGAGGACTTTCTTCAGTGGTTGTGATGCCTCATAAATTATTCTGTCATGCACAACAAAAGGGCTTAATTTCTTTTTTCTCAGAGATTGATGCAACCGTCATGTTTACTCCATCAAACATGATTGTGGTAGAGTTATTATGACCGCGATGAGAAGACGAGAACACTTTTTGTTTTGCAGAATATGTTTTGAAATATTTTTTCGTCTCAGAAGACTAAAGGTATATTTTCAGGCTAGCCAAGGCAGTTGTAGGCGTACAGCTCAAATAGAATAAACAACAAATATTACTGTTGCTCCCATGTGCTTAGCACAATAAATGAGGTCAATCTACCACAGTTCCATCTCAGGGTTGGCTCTTGTTATTGGCCTCATTCCACAAAGCTTTGACAGATATAAAAACAGTATTTTTTTCTTTTCTGCTTCATTTCTCATAAAAATTGGGAAGTTTACCTGTTAGAACGCCATTCTTCTCACTCGGCTCACTCCAGCTGACTTTGAGAGAGGTATCCAGGATCTCTGTAAAGCTCAGGTGGCCTACAGCACCGGGGGCTTGATTTGGAAAAATAAAAATAATGAGCATTGCCAATGGGCAAATAGTTCTATCTGCAAATAATTTACTACGGTATTTACTTTTGAACACTTCAACATTTGGATTGTAAATCTAACTCCGCAAAATCAAACTAAGCAACTGCAAACAGATGGGCTTTTAAAGCGTTGCTATTAAGAGAGTCATGTCCCAATTAAGGAGATTCTGGGTGGATGCAGAATACACTTTTTTTTCATCAGCATCTCTACAGCATGATTCTGCATGAATAATAGATCTTGCCCAAAGGATGTTGTTGCTGTAAGATGCCTGATTTCTTTTGCCAGGATGGCAGAGTGAGAAGAAAAGTTACTTACTGTCCTCATGAGTCTTCAGAGCCTTAGGTGGGCTGTGGGGACCGTCTCCAGGTGTAGTGAAGCACAACACCGAGGTGAAATACTCAGTGAACTTCTTCAGACCTGTCACGTATCCCACGTGGACACTGTCCTGGAAGTTCGGTCGTACCGTTACCATAGAAACTTCTTCTTCTTTGCCAGGTTCCCAAGCCAGCAACTAGAAAAACAAGAGGAGAGACAATGGGAAAGAAAATTACTCTGACAACCAAAGTCTCTAGGGATCACTTGCCATCTTGGTTTAGTCTATTTTTAGAAAAGTGCTCCGGTGATGTTTTGAACGAAGGAGAACGTAAGAATAGAAGTAAAGCTCTATTTTATTTTGCTCAAGAGAGATGGGATATGATGTCACTATAAATGATTAGCCACACACACTACTGGGACAAACGGGAACTGGATTGACCAATTAGCTATTTAAGTAATCAGTCCCAGTGGTTAATCTTTTGGGCTAATTTACAGTTTTTAGGCCAAGCAAATGTTTATTAAAGAAGTAAGTCAGGGGGCTTAATGGTCCCTTGTGCCTGTTTAATCACTCATCCCCTTCATATTCAGTTAACCCTTTAAAATCAGATATAAGAAACTAATTGCATTTTTTTTCTTTTAAATAAACAAAAAAAATTGTGTAAATTCACCTACTTTTTTCCAATTCCCTAACAAGTTATAATTACTAGTGTTAGATGTTTAAGAACTGACAATGGCTTAAGTTTTTCAATACATTTATTTTATTCATGGTTTCCTTTTAAAAAGCTACTTTACCGAACTCCATACACTTTCACCCACATCAAAACTGATATGAAACGGTGAAAATTAAATAGTTGAATCTGCAATAAAAGAGAAACTTTCTATCAGCACTGGACATTTCAAGATATACACGAAAGCAAACGGGAAATGAGAAGCAAGTCACAGATAAATGCTGCTAAAGAAAGAGAACAACCGTCAACTGACAAATGGGAAAGCACAGTCCATTGTTCTCATTGGAGCAGAATATTGTTTGCCTTCTGGCTTTTTCCCTCCTCTTCCTACATGTAATAGAGCATGTTCTGCACTGACAGCTCTGTCAGTGGATGTGATGACTTGTTGTGAAGACACTGTTGGGGGGCCCGCTGACCTTGTAGCCCTGGTTGATGCCGTTGATGAACTGAGGGTTCGGAGCGGTCCAGGTAAAACGAATAGCTGTTGAGTTGACTGCCTCAACCTGCACATTTCCTGGAGCGATGGTTGGGACTGGGATGAATGATGGAGAGAAAGCAGAAGAATTGGGAAAAAAAGAAAAGGAAAAAAGAAAGGAATAGACAGAATGAGAAACGTATTAGAAAAAAAGGGTGTTAGCGTGCCTTTCAACTAATAGTTTAAAGTCTGTGCGCATTGGTTTTGCTGCCAGTATTGATCGCTGCTGCACGGGTCAAGGCAGATACTGCCATCACTCTCCCACTGACACACCTAATACCAGAGCTCTTTGTGGGTGTACTTGTGACTGCTTTAGATGTTTAGGGATTTTTAGGTATATAGAACACCTGCAATTAGAAAATAGACAGCCATATGCAACCAGATGTACACAAAACCTATTAAAACAATTACTGTACATATGAGTTATTCCAACTTTGTTTTATGTAAAGTTGCATCTCAATATTCAATAGAATATTATATAGAACAATAGAAAACATTTTCAAGAAAACAAGTCTTGTGTTTTGGTTGTATCACGGGTTGCACAATCTTAGATAAGGCTACTTAAATCACAATTGCACAACGACCTCCAAGAAAGTAGGCCACAAAAGGTCAATAGCTAAAAAACATTTAGTAATTGAGTGTTATATTGAAGCATATCAATGGAAATTTGACTGGAAAGAACAAGTGTTGTAGGAAAACACCCAACCAGGACTCAGCACCTGCTCACACTGCTAATAGTACCAGCATGTGGTTTAACCAAGGTATCCTGTTGCTTGATTGTTCACTGAGTATTCAATTTTTATGGAGGTTTATGGTAAAACTTATTTACCAAGACATCTAATTTGTGATGAGTCCCTTACCTCCTTGAAGAGTCCACTCTGTGACTTTATGGCTGAAGATGCCCAAACCTGCCCCGTTGTAGGCAGCCACCTCAATCTCATAGTTTGTCCAGATGATTAGGTCTTCTAGGAGTAGAGTCGTCACATCCGGGCTGGAGATATTCTTGAGCTGATAGTCCACAGGTAGCCCAGTGAGTCGGTAACTGAAACACAAATTTGAATATAAAAATCCGGAAGTACGTCTGATTAAATAAGAAGATCAAAAAAAGTTATTTTCTACAGCAATTCATTTCCATAACTGAATTACACTTATGTACACAAATACATATGTTTTCTGAGAAACAAAATTTTTCATTTCTTTGGGTTTTAGCTGTAAACCATATTTCATTGGGATTAACAGAATCAAACATTTAAAATGCAGAAATCTTTGTCAAATTAATATATCAGAGAGCTTTAGTTTTTGAATTAAATTTCTGAAATAATTATATTTTGCATAACATTCTAATTTACAAATGTGGTAAAATTGTGTTTTTTGGGGGGATTTGGGGGTTGTTTCTTGCTCCTCAGACAAGGACATTACAGTATTCAACTGTAGTACACCTTTCTTCGTTCTAGAGGGGGACAAAGCACCAGCAAAGCGGCACCTAAAATCCCATAGGCAGCTTTGACTTTGTCTGGAAATCACCTGCGGTTTCATTTGGATGTAATGAATAAAAAGTCTGACAGAGACCCGAGCTAATTATATGTTTAGAGGATTTACAGTCACTTTGGCTTATTGCATACTCTGTCTATTAGAGTCACAATGTTTGCTCAAATCAGCCCAGTAATTAAAGGTTGGTTGTACGTCAGATAAAATATTTTTCAAGTTGCTTTGTCAACAGAGACAAGTGGGTTTCATGAGGAAAGAGTAATCTAATACTGACACAATGTAGTATATATAGATTTTAACAGAGTCTGTTCATTCAGAGAAGTTTTACCAGACTAAAATTTGACTGCATAACTTCCCAAGAATGTGGAAAAGCAGGCAAAGAAGGCAATGCCATGTAAAAGGGTGGGGGTGGGGTGGATTTTACCGGACGATGTAGCCTCTGAGGATGCCGTTCTGTTGGCTTTCGGGCGGCGGCTGCCACTGGATCATGATAGACTGGTTGGTTCTGCCGCTGGCAATGACATTCTGAGGAGGGGCACTGGGGGGCTCCTCTGGGAGAGACACGCTGAAGATCAGACACACATATAGAGAAAAGAAGATGACAGAGAGAAGATTGCATCATAGAAATAGATCCTTCAAAATCAAGCTGTCATTTATGTAAATTCATTTGCTTTAAGGTATTTACTGATGCTTCCTAGTATTTGTAATTTGCTCATTTTTTATAAAGAAACACACAGTGCACCAACAAACGCAGTTTTTTCCTCACAAACACACTGTTGTGCCTGGGGGGAGAGGATGGAAATAAGAGAAAGGAATGAGACAATTAACAGCGACCAACTGGACGCATGGAGGGCTTTGTATTGGGCCAACTGTAACAAACGGGAACATAACCCTTTACCCCCACCTATGGGTTTCCTCTTGGTAGAAAGTTGGCAGTGTGGCGAAGCATGACTGGTTGGTAAAGCGAGACCGACAGCGGTTGAGGAATAGCCGGTTATGTGAAGCCACAGAGTTGACAATGTTGATGTCACCTCAGATCCAGATCATTTCGTAACTCCACGTATGTTACAGTAAGCTTTATTTGGAAGTGCCTCAGTATGAGCAAAACATTGTATTTTAACACAGCAGCCACAAAGCAAAGGACTTCAAGATGATGTAGACATGACTGCCTCCGCAGTTATTGGCTCCACTGGTGCAGAGTTGTGAAAAGAAAAATCAGCTTTTTTGTCGTGGCATTGTCACATGAAGGAAATATCCCTCCATATCAATGTGTCCAATATCACAGCAACAAAGCACACTTTGGAAGCAATACTTGGTGGGATATATCTTAAGTGGCAACCATGTAAATTTTGTATGCCAGTATTATTTTTTATGAATATATTTTGTGGTCAAGATGCTAAACCAGATAAATACTAGAAGGAACACTGCAAAGAAGAAAAAGAAAGAATAGATGAAGAAACTGAGGTAATGTGCTATATGGTCATCAGAATATTCCACCAGTCCATCTGTGCTTCTTTCCTTCCTTCCCTGCCCCCATCCATCCGTCCGTCTATCCTAACTATTAAAGGTACCTTGTTTTTGTGTCTCTTTCATTGTCTTGGTGTTTGTTTGTTCAAAAGAAGTGAAGTATTTGGTATTTGTTTGTTTCTGCTGAAACCATGACCCCAAAAGGGGAAGCACATACCAAATACTGATTCAAAAGTGCTGTTATTTTTACTTGGCACAGCTACCAAGTGAAAGCTGTGCCAGGATTGCAGAGGCATTTGAAGATCGGTAATACTTTTCAATTTCTTAATAATGAAATATTCTTTAAAATGTGTTTAAAACTATAGCATCATGATGAGGTCCCCCATAGAAAAAATGTATTTTATGATTTGTTCAGTGTTTGTTCTAATAAAAGGAGAATACTGATGAACAGATAAAGGTCTGTCCTTCTCTCACCGGTCAGTCTCCTTACTGAACTGCCCCTTCCCGACATCATTAACGGCACAGAGGCGGAACTGATAGGAGCGGGCCGGGATCAAGCCATTCACTGTCACTGCTATGGACTCTGGTTCAATATTGGCCAGCAGGATGGCCCAGGGAGCATCTAGAACAGAGAAAATGAAAAAACAAAATCCACATGACAGCATACAAACACACACATTCATTTTCACTGTTCCAGTCAGCTAAAACATAATAAAAAAAAACCCAAACACTGATTTATGACTAATTGTGTTATATTAGCAGTTTGAGTTCTACTAAATCTACTTTAAATGACATACAGCAACCTCCACACTTTTGTGCATCTTTGCTTAGATGTGCAAAATTAAAGAAATTAATATTTTACTGCAGTAGAATCATATCATTGAATCATACAACCTTAATGTAAACATTTCCTGTTTGATTTAATTTAAGTTGAAAAAATAAGCAAAACAGATGGGTCACATCTGATAAACTTGTTTTATCATCCGCCACTGAAGTACATTTAATTTATATCAAGCTCACAGTGATGTCAACTCTTTCTGTTACAGGAATGTCACTCTTTGCTATTGTTCTTCCACTTATGAAGATTGTTTTTTAACCTTCCTCGCCATCCTTCTCATTAAGCCGATTGGATAAAATTGGGTCCTTGTCGAGTCTCATTTATTATGATTCCAGTTGTTTTAAACTTTTTAATTATAGCTGTAGAAACTACAGTCTAGACCAGCAGTCATTTTCTTTGAACTGTTTTCTGATTTATGTAGCTCAGCACCAAACATTTGAATGGCATGTTCCACTGTTTTTCTCATTTTGAAGATTGACAAAGACAATTTGGCCATTGTGGTAAGTCCATTTTACACACTAAAGAAATGAGAAGTAATGGATTACAAGTTGAGAATTCTTTTTGAAATTAACTTAAAAGAATGAAACAAAAATCTAGAACTAAGTTAAGCAACTTATGAAACAATAAGTGTAGCATTGGTATTCATTCAATAGTACGCATTGTAATTAATATTTTTTTCTCTAAGTGGGATGTTTTTCCCACTGCATGAATGCACTTAAATTAGAAATTGATTTAAACAAAAAAAACAGAGTGAAGTTCTACCACTGCTTCCAGTATTAACAAGAGGACAGTGTCAGAAACGTCCAAAATAATCCTAATTAATTATCCTTTAAATTTTATTTGAGCCTCTCATAAGTTCTTTGCAGCATTTATTTTGCATTTAAACGTTAAAGCAAAAGAAAAAACAAAAAAACGCAGGAGTCTGTCTCCGTGTATAGAAATGCAAACGAAACACCCAGACCCAAATGTGAAACATTTTCTATGTTTCAAGTCTTCATCAATGATCCCACAAGTTCCCGCTTCCCTCAAACCCAAGTCAGAATACATAATTTATAGGTAAACTGGCATGAGGAGAAGTGAACTTTGAGCAGAGTACAGAAGTGGACTGGTAAAGACTTACTGTTTTCAGAAACCTCCAGGATATAGCGTATGAGAGGACTGTTCCCATCAAAAGCCTTGGCCCAAGCCAGGTCTATGGCTCTTTTCTCAGACTTGCTCAGCACTGCAGAGGGGTTCTCTGGGGCGTGTGGGAGCTGCCTGCGCAGGGGGAAAGATCAGAGCACAACTTTGATAAATAAAAGAACTCTGTCTATCAGAGCAGTTTGCTTCATTGTCTACATCTCCTGTAGACGCTCGAAGAGAGAGTCAAATCTTTCGCAACAGAGACATCAGTTCAGAAAGGTGATGAAATGTGACTTGACAAGACAGCAAAGACGATTCCTTGTCAAGATGGACATGCAGGCAAACAAAACGAGATGGATATTACCGGAGGTCAGGACGGGAAAAAGGAATGAACGACATTAGGAGACAGATAGGAGGAAAATGCACAGACAAAGATGTGAATAAATGAGGCTAAAGCTGAGGATCATTAATTCATTCAGGCATAAATTCAGATAAGCGCAGGCAGATTCATATATAAACCTTAAAGCGACGGACGGATAGTAACTCAGAGTAAAAGCAGTAAGCCAACAAGGGAGACAGTACAGCGATGAAGACAGAAACAGTCACATTCATATTCAGTTTAACCTTACTGCAGTGACTCACTGGTGAAATGATGGAGAATAATAAGACTCTACAGAAAGAAAAAAACAGTACAGTATAGGGGAAGAAAAAAAAAACAGAAGTGGGAGAAGGGAGTCCACCAGGGGCTGGAGAGTGTCAGGTGAGAATGAGGACAAGGAAGGTGGGAAAGAGAAGGCGTCATTTAAGTGGAAATGAGTCAGAGGTGTCGATAAGAACAGGCAGGACAGAAGGGTGTTGGGGACATGTTTCTTTCTGCTACATCACATCAAAGAATTTTGACGGCAAGAGTGTAAGGAGGAAAAGATGAGGAGAGATGGGGAAGAGGGAGGGGTTTACCTGACACGGAGGTGAGCGCTCCGGGAGTCGTTGCCTCCGACCGAGGTGACTCTGCACGTGTACGTGCCGATGTCACCCGACCAGGTCTGGGAGATGTGCAGGGTGCCGTCGGCGTCCAGGCGCATTCGGGGGATGGCTTGCACATTGATCAGAGAGTTGTCTTTTTCCCAAACATGCCTGCAAAACAGACTCTGGAATGTTAAACTGCTGTGCAGTCCAACAGCATGAATCAAAATGTGACATTGTTGAGATTTCTAAGCCTGTGAGATCATCATTGTTTTTTTTTTCTGTTTTTGTTCCATTCTTACAAGAGATGAATTTATCAGACTTCTACTGCCTGATACTGTTTCCAATTTTCTTTCTGACTATACACACACAAGTTAATCTATATACACTCTATTTTAACTCAACCTCGATATCAAATATATGTATATATATATTTCATGTATATAATGTATATATTATAATGTATATAGAATTGTATAATGTATATAGAATTAATATATCTACATATATTAATTAATCTATATTTAGTCTTTATCTGATGTTTACAAACAATAAAAATACATTCCAAGAATATGTTTGGCAATTTATCTGGATTTAACAAAAGAAAAACAGCCATGCAATTTGATTAACCTAAGCAACCTAAGCAAGAGAAAACTTTTTTTTGTGACATTCCTACCTAATACTGGTATTTTAGAGAAACTAATTCTAACAGGCTGCAATTGCAAAAAACAGAAAAAAGAAAAAACCCTAATTGTTCCTCACTAATGTCAAAATAAATTTACGTTTTTCTGGGTAATCATTGAACATCTTAGTAAGGAAACCTTTTCTGAATTTATTCTGGATGTAACTTGCTGTTTCAAAAGTTACCTGACATTGCACAAATTTTGAATAAAAGAAATATTTCAACAATGACAGCCAAAGTGAGTTTATTGGTTTTTCCTTCAAACTAATAAAGTCTCAAAGTTGGAGTGGGTGCATTAAGCACTTTTAGACAATTTCAGGTTTATTGCACAGCTAGAAGTAGATGGCAACAGCTTAATATACTTTTTGTTTATCTTTATTTCCAAGAGTGGCACAAATAAGCTCAAGTAAACCTATCTTATTGCTGTGACTAAAATAGATGAAGCTTTTGATGTGCTTCCAACGTCCTGGCACCGTTTTCATATTGAGTCCATCATTTCCTACCTCCGAATTTCTGCAACTCTAATTCACCTTTTATTCCAGTAGAAAGCAGAACAAAGTCTTCAAAAGAAGAAGCTATTTGTTCTCTTGTTCTCCCTTTTTTATTTTTTACTTTGGCTGTTTTTAACTAGACATAACATATTTTTTAACAGTTTGAACATATTAATGCAAATTCCAAACTTTTTAAAGAATATGAACAATGCATTATATTTAAAGATTTATGACCTTTGGAAGATAAATCAAGCCACAACACTATAAGTCCTCTTTCGGAGTTTACAGCGGGCTCTTTTTTTAATTCATCCTTTTAATTTAATTACTGCTCTGAGATGACTGTGGGTGTTTTGTGTTGGTGTATTACTTAGATTTACTTTATAATATAGTTTGTGTTTTGTTATTTTTTATCATTTTTTTCTCCGAGGAGTTTTTTGCGGCGCTAGTGGCTCGTTTTTTTGACAGTGGGCAGACGGGAAAGAGGGTGAGGAGATGGGGGAAGACATGCGGCAAAGGTCGTCGGGACCAGGAGTCGCGGCCTCAGTCCGCGTTGAGGACTGAGGCCTCCAAACGTGGGCCGTGCTCGCCCCTGGGTCACCACAGCACACCCCGAAATTTGCGTTTTTATTAAGCTGATCAAGCTTGGGAAGCAGCTATTTTTAAGTAATGTTCAACTTCTGGAGATCAGCGCACATCTGATCTCCACTTGAATGACATGTTTTCTTATTTGATAAATTTTTAAGTTTGGCAAAGAGAAATGTGCATCTCTACCGCCTTATATTCATACTGTAAGGAAAAGGAAGTCATGGAAAAAAAACTGCTTCAGATGAATTTATTTGATAAGAACTGTTATAGGAGCAAACACGCATGGCAACAACAGATTTGTTAAAAACAATTATCTCTTCGCTGAAGGTTTTTTTTCACCAAGTGAGTAAATTCAAAATTGAATTTTGAAGGTTGTATTTTTTCAGAATTTTATCAGTGTTAGAGTGTGAAACTCCAATAAAAAGATAATTAATTTGAACATTTTTTGCACATCTTTAGCAAAAAATAAATCTGAGTTTCAAGAAGTTGTTCAGCAATGACTACATTTTTCATTGCTTCTGAAAGACGGTATTTAGGCTTTGAGTTGAAGTCTCATTTAAGCAATCAAAAGTCAGTTGTTGCAAAACTCATCTCAAGTCTTTCTATGAACTAGGAAACCAAATAGTTACTGTCTTGATTTACGGTTTTAGTTCAAATGTCTGGGACACAGTTTGAGATCAATAGCAAAACAGTTGATATTTGTCAAATTGCATATTTTGGATGATGTGGTTTAAATATGTAACTTTTAAATATTAAAACAAAATCTCAACTTTATTTTATGCCCATTTTGTTATGTATCAGACAATACAATTTTGTTGCCACCTACATGAACGCAAAACCTCGACATCCATATCCCCATAAGTCATAGAGTACACGGATGACTTTGTCATCTTCTATTTAGCTGTAATCCAAGCAGACAGTGTTATCAGTGAGCCGTTTCATCCTCTTCCCACAGTCTCCTCAAAGTTACCACCAAGATTGACCTGAACACTCACTGGAACGCCTAATGGCTGTATATCAAACAGCAAATCCACATTCATCATATCTACACAGCACAGAAGCAGTGTCAGATGTCGCTTTCTCATTTGAGTATAAAGAGAGAAAGGAATCCATTGATCAGGAGTGAAGTTGGGTACAAGGCAGGAGTTCAGTAATCATTCTGCTGAAAGACTCGTGTGTTTCACAGGACTGACAGCAGTGGCGGTATGTGGTAAACACTTCTATCATACACAACTTTCTTTTAGTTTCTAAATGTGTAAAACTTTATGTCACACCCTTCACAGTAAAACAGTTTTAACAAGATACACGCAAAAAATATTTACTTCGTACAGTTATGTCAACAAATTCCACAAAACTAAGTGATGTTCCGTATATAAATGGAACTTAACAATATTTAGTAAACAAATCAAAAATACTTGTAGCTCCAACTTATCTGACTTAAGATTGTGTGGCAATCACTGACTTTTGCTTTACTTAAGTTTTAGGAATGATATAGCAGTAGTAGCCTTAGTTTGACTTACTAAATAAAGACATGTCAATAGTTTTCACATACTTCACATAATTTCAGTAAATTAAAATTACACCAACTGGTAGGGGATTGTAGCATAGCATATTGTTGCATCAAAAAAAAAACTGTTTTTGTGACTTTAACAAGTAAAAAAAAAAAGTTAAACTTACTGAAATGTGTTATGTTTGATATCTCCATTTATTGAATTAAACAATTCTATGAGCTCATTTTTTGAGTGTAGTTTAACAGCAAATGTTGTTAAAAAAATGTCTGCTCTATTGAAATACTACTTAACTTACACTACCTACTGCTTAACAAGAATTGTACAGTTGGTGAATTTTTCAGAAAAGTGTAAAGATGTTAATTTTTTAATAAACTGATGTGTGTATGATTTTTACTTCTACTTAATCATAAAATTACAATAAAATACCTTGTTTATTATTTAAATTTCAGACATTTTTATTATTTTAATATCAGACGATGATTTATTGCCTGATATTTTAATATCAGACAATGAGAAAAAATTGGGTGGATATGAATTCTTTTGCGACGCACTGCTGAGGTTATTTATTTTTCCAGAGAGTAATTTTATGCCATCAGTTCAAGCAACTTTCTGGAAAATTTAAGCCATAATATCTCCAATACAATGCGTCCATGTCTCCACATGTTTGTGAACAGATTCTTACCTGATAATTACACTCGGGTCATGTGTGACTCCACAGGTCATAATAGCTTTGGTCCCTTTGATGACACTCTGATCCTGTGGGGGTGTGGTAATCCGAGTGCGAGCTGTGGAGACAAATCAAAGACGTGAGTGAATAGCAGAAACCCACCGGAACGTGCTTCCTTAAATGAGCAGGGTGAAGAGAAAAAGAAAAATCGCCAAGAACTTCAAAATGAATTTCAGAAAGCTCATTTCAGATAAACAGACAAGTTCCAAATGAGGAAGCTAAGTGAGTGTTTCACAAACCATGTTTTATTCATTCTTCTTGATAAAATGATTCAGCTTTTGCATCTGTTGCATTTTTTTTCCCTCACTAGGGTTTAAAGATTTCCTCTAAAATATTCTGCATTAAATACGTGTTTGGTACTCACTCCCGAAACACTTACCCCAGACAATGAGGTCAGCAGATGCCTCATCGATGCCCCTCGAATTACTTGCCATGCAAGTATAGGTCCCGCCATCAGAAATGTGTGAAGGAGAGATGAGCAAACTTCCCGACTCAAGCAGAGTAAACCTGGGCAGCTGCACAGAACCGCTGGCCAACACACGCTCACCTAAGGTTATTGAAAGGCAGAAGAGAAGAGTGAAGAGAAAGAAGATCAATAAATAGAGAAAAGCAACAGACAGAATGATAAAAAGAAATCTATCTATCTATCTATCTATCTATCTATCTATCTATCTATCTATCTATCTATCTATCTATCTATCTATCTATCTATCTATCTATCTATCTATCTATCTATCTATCTATCTATCTATCTATCTATCTATCTATCTATCTATCTATCTATCTATCTATCTATCTATATATCTATATATATATGTAGTTATTTCTTGATTTGTGAAAAATATTTGTACACAATCTATACATGTTTTATTAGACTAATTAGAATATCTTTCGATGAGGCTCATTTGTCAAACTAAGTATATTTTGAACATAATCTTTAAGCAGGTATTGAACATATTTTTTCATTAAGCCAACATTTTTGTACTAAATCTGTTTTTATTGGTCTGATGCAATAATATTGAAAAACTAAAATGTCATATTGGAAAATCATCATAATAAGCAAAAAACAAGGCTTCAAAACATCTCTGTGTAATAATCAATGTAATATGTTTTAGCAAATTCATTTAATTACTGGAATAAATGAACATTGCAGCGCATATGCACAGAACAGAAATGAGCTTTTTTTCACTTTAACAATTCTGAAACACAGTAGCCATGAACCTTGAAGAAAACAGGGTAGTTTATATACTGTGTTCCAAATTATTATGCAAATTGGATTTAAGTGTCATAAAGTTTATAGTTTTTGTTGTGCTATTAAATTTATAGATGGTATTATGTGCCAGAGGTCTTTGAATCACTATCATTAATTTCAGAGAGCTGATTTGATTAGTTGGTCTGGTGCGCTCAATTAAAGGAAATCTACTTAAGGATGTTCCACATTATGAAGCGAGCCACAGGTTTCAAGCAATATGGGAAAGAGAAAGGATCTCTCTGCTGCCCAAAATAAACAGATAGTGTTTAAGAAAATCTGAGAAAATATCACTTGCATAATAATTCGGAACACGTGTAGATGTAAGAGTGACACAACAGCCATCATAAACTCCATCCTGTATATGAACTGCATTCGTGTACATGTTTGTGTGTAACAGAGACCTTTCTGCCAGGTTATGGCAGGCCTTGGAGCTCCTGAGGTCTCACAGTGCAGGATAATTGACATCCCGTCAATCACCGTGCTGTCAGAGGGTCCGGCTGTGATGTTCGGTGCGATGCCTGAGGGGAGATAAAACACACGCACATTTCAGTCGTGTTACTTCTAAGCACCAACCTGCTGCAACAGAATGTTTAATTTGTGCTTTGTCCCACTATTTTGAAAAGGAGCAACACTGCCTTCACACTCCTGCCACTACGATGTGCCAAATGTCTATTTGCAGCCAGATAGAAAATATATAGAAAGTAGAGGGAGAAATAACCTGAGCATAAATGGAAAGTGAAGGCATTTCCAAGGCAACTAAAATCCTTGTGTGATGTGCAATAAATCAAAGTCCCTTATGGAATGACAGGAAACCATATCACTCCCTACAGAAAGGATGCATTGGGAGTTTGTCACAGTAGTGGAGTAAATATCCAAGCAGAAAAGACATGGAGACATGGATGTATTGACAAAGAGGAGAACGATGAGATGAAGTCTGAGCAGACGAAGACGAAGAAGAGGTACCAGCACCACGAGATTAGAAATAAAGACGAAAGGAGTGATTTAGTGACTTAGATTATTATGAATTCTGAAACAAGACGCACCATGGAGTGAAAGCAGCAGGAAAGAAGATGCAGCGAAGAAAATTAGATGTCAGAAACTTGCAGAAAAGATGCACAGCTAGAGTACAATTACCATTGATTTTCAAATTCCTGCAGTGGCACAAGCTCAGACAAAAAAAAAAAAAAAAAAAAATGATGTGGAAGTTATTTCGGAATTAGGAGAGAGGCAGCAAACATGGTTCTCAATGATGGGTTTCTGTACTGTAAGCTTAAAATGTCTGAACAATTGTCAGTCCATTCATCATTTTCTGCTTTTCTGAGATCCGGTTGCAAAGTGCATTTTCAAACTGCATTCTTCTCCTTCTACATGTCATCCTTCAAGATGCCCATGCGTCACATAACTTCCAGGCATATCCATTTAGTTTTTTTTTTTTGTTGTTGGGGATGAAATTATCTCAAATGAACTAATTTTCAATGTTTGTCAATGTGCTTTAAAGTGTTTAGCATGTTAATGATTTTCCAACATACAGCAAAAGGGCCACAAAAATGACAAAGATGGATGGATGGATGGATGGATGGATGGATGGATGGATGGATGGATGGATGGATGGATGGATGGATGGATGGATGGATGGATGGATGGACTGCAGGTGTATATCTACCTTATTTTATTGGCTGCCATATGTTTATAGAACATGGTAGAAATGCATATAAAAGATTCATATAGCCCCACTTTTCTCCTTATTTTAAGATTTGATCGCATTTCTATTTTTTGTAACACAATTACACCTCATCATCATCCTTAAATCTGACAAAGGGCTTAAGGGAGCTGAATATATATAGAGAGTATAAACATAATATAAAATAATAAATAAATAGGAGTTTTATCAAGCCAGCTTGTTATATCTTTAAGACCAGTAATTATTCCTGGAAGCAATATTTGATCTCCAGGCCACTCACTGGTAACAGCCAGGTAGGTGTTAGTCTGAACTTCTCCTGCCGAGTTCCTGGCAAAGCACTGAAACATGCCGGTGTCATCAGGCAGCAGACCGTTGACCTGCAGGCTCCCCCCCACCAGGACTCTGTACCTCGGCGTCTTCACTGGATCGATGGGAAGGGCATCCTTGTACCAGACGATTTCTGGCTGGGGAACTCCTGCAGAGAGTCGACAAGGATTTGGATTACAGACAGCGGGTTACAGCCGCCCTTTCAGTATGACTTCATTCAAATTCAGAATCTGTCAAGCAAGTCAACTCTGGAAGCATTTGTCAAATAGAATAAAGCCATACTCACCCCTTGCTTGACAGGGAATGTCCACCACCTTCTCCATCTCAGCCGTGATGTGTTTCTCTGGTTCCTTGATGAACTGTGGTGGCTCTGACAGATCAAAAACAAAGCAAAAAATAAAAAATAAAAATAAGGGAAAATGAACACACTAAAAAAAACATCATTAGAGAATTATAATTTAATGTGATCATAAAATAATGAGAAACAGAGAGAGTGAGATGCAATATTACATCAAAACTGTCCAGCTGTTGGATCATAAAGCTTAAACAGAAAAAAACAAAAAAATCCACCTCAAATTCAGGCATCTTCTGAAAAACGAATTGCGAAAGCAAGACAAGTGTCAAAGTCAGCAGAATTAAGGTAAAAGTTCACTAAACCTTAGAGCTTGAAAACATCAAAGTGTTTCATAGGGATGGAATCAAAGTGACTCCAGCAATGCTATTAAACTGTTTCTTGAGGGCAACCATTAGCTTCCCTCCAATTTAAATCAATAATATTTTTCTTGTTACTGCCTCATGAGCTCACAGTCAAGCTGTTCTCCATGTAACCAAGTGAGACAAGACAAATTTGCATAAAATTTTGGCCACATCCTTTCTTTGAGCCAAAATGCAATGATTATTCCTGTAGCACAGCCACATGCATATGGTAGTGGCAAATATATTCAATGCACTTTCAACTTTTTCACATTTTTGTCACATCATAACCATAAACCTCAATGTTTTTGTTGGGATTTTATGTAACACAAATCAAAACTATCAATATCAAAATCTAATTAAAATTCAATACATCTATTGAATATATTAAATGGTTAAAAAAGAGAAAATAATAGAATGAATTTGCATGAAGTCCCCTTAATTCTGACATAAAATATGTTTTAGTCTCCCTGCTAAAACAAATGCAAAACATCAATGGCACATTTTTTTTTTTGACAATTTTTCTTTTCACCTTGTTTTGGTATATAATAAAATCCCAATATAATTGGCTGATGTTTGCAATTCTCATGTAATAAAACTTCAAACAATGGAAAAACTGCTTGCAACTCTTTAAGGAGTATTAGGTTTCTTGGAATCAAAGGTTTTAATTTTATAAATTTTCAAACAATTCTGACCAAGATGGCACATGTTCCTCTCAGGAAAAACACTGAACACTTATTTTGCAAAGGCAGCAGCAAATATGTAATCTTTTTGATTTCACACTTACAGGTATGATCAGTCACATCATAAATATCTGTATGTAGTGTGTGATGTTTTAATTCTTTTATTAACAGTTTTGTCATAAGAAAAAAAGGTGTGAATCAGTGTGGAACCATGGTGTTAACAGAAGTAATTAGAAGGCACAGCCTGCAAACACAAATGGATATAGAACGACGACAGTACTTCAGCACACATGACATGATAACAAGTGAAACTAAATTGACTGCACGAGTTTCCTTACCAAACACATGAAGGTAGGCACCAGCGCTGACAGAAGGCACACTGCTGCTGCGGAGAACGGTTTCACATTCGTAGAATCCGGCGTCACTCACCATTGGGCTGAGAATAGTGAGCCTGCGGTTGAAGTCACTCAAACCGCTGCTCACCAACACACCGTTTTTACGCCAGGAGATACTCAGCTTTATAAGAGGCCTACACAAGGGAAAAAAAAGACATCAGATCTAATTTTTCCTATGTACTTGGGAAGCAATATTCAAACCTAGCTTGAGGAGACAAAAGCTAAAGAGATGACCCATGCACAGCTCATGAGGAATGTACAAAATTGAAACAGCAAAAGGTCTCTGCATGCTTCGAGTGTTGTACTATTCGTAATGGAGGTTGTACAATGTATTAACAGCAAGGGTGACAAGACAGTGGGGATATTGTTAAAAACAATTATTTAATATGTTTTTGTGTTGTTTTGGGGTTTTTTAAACACTGAATAAATAATGACAATATAAAGGTTTGTAACGAATGGTGAAAGTTGTTGAAGTTCCTGGAGATTTCCCTTATTTTGGAGGAACAAATCCTGAAAAATGTAGGTGAAGGTTTTTACCTGGCATTGGCCACACACTCCATCGTAACCTCTGATGTGCCTGTGACCACACTGGTGTTCTTGGGCGGGATGATGATAGTGGGAGCAATGGGGTCGGCTGGACCTCCAATATCTAGACGGACAAGCAAAGATACTCAAAAAATGCATACAAATACATTGATCCTTTCTAAGTAGCTGATTGATTGAAAGAACTGAAAGGAGGAGCAGTGTCACAAGGCGACCGGAGGATTTTGTATTTAATATCCTATAAATCTCACTGCCACTCAGCACTCTCTGCGGGTGCCCATTGATGTGAAATATTGAAACTGACCGGCGAACACACCGAGCATGAGCTATGACTGAGAGATGGGTCGAACAGGATGAGACAGTGCACTGTGTGTGCATAACAAGGTATTTTTTGCCAAACCAAAAAAGAAAGAAAAATACTGCCAACATAAAACAGATGGGCTGAATGGATCCTTGTCTATACTATCTATCTGAAAACACATTTATTCTTTTGTTCGGGTTTGTTTCGAGCATTACACACTGCTCATGGCGTTGTAAAGTCTTGTGTGCGTGTGCATGTGTGTGTGTGCAGCATGAAATATGTCATGTCTGTGATAAACTCATAGCGATCTGTCAGTCCTGTCATGCCCTGGGACTGAGCTCATGGCGGCACATGTCAGACGTAGCTACGGGGGATGTCATGACTCAGTAATACCAACCTGGGTTTATTTGCAGGCTTTGATGTACGTAAACACACGTACCTCAGAGCAGGCCAATGACTGACAGCTATTCACCTGAGAGAGACTTAATCCGACAAGGCTTCTGGCTCTTTAAAATGTTTATGTAACTGAAAGTAGGAGCTAAAACGTGTTAATTTTCTTACTTTGGAAGTTTGAGATATGTGTGAGTGCAGTGGGGTAGGAAGAGCTTTAAAACAAATTGCAAGTTGTTAGAATAACCATAATCATTCGTATTTGTTAAATAGCAAAACATGGCAAAACACATTTTGAGACCTTTTCTTATGTTCTTTAAATTCAGAAATGTAAATTATGTTTGAAACAATTTGTGAAAAATCCAAACGATAATCTCATTGGCTTTGGTTATGAGATCAAAGTTCATCTAAAAGCATCTGTAATTCCAGTGAAAGGTGGCTGTGTGCCGTGGCTGTCGCTTTTTTTTCCATAATTCTTTTTTTAGTTAAAAATAAAGAATATATATACATATATAGCTCAACTATTTCATTTTCTGGTAAGACAGACACGTCTTGGATATATATATATATATATATATATATATATATATATATATATATATATATATATATATATATATATTTTTTTTTTTCTACCACTTCACATTACAGTATCCCAACTTAGTGTTGGGATAGCATGTGACTAAATCCAAAAGAACAACAGAAAGTAGTTTTGATAAGCTCCGTAACTATGACAAGTAAATAAAGACAGGATTTCCGAATTCACTATTCCTTTTGTTTTAGCCATATTTAATTTAAAAAATATAAGTATACAATTCTAAGTTCAATTTTTAAATTTAAAAAGCTTAACTTTCTCACTCTGATTTAAGCTGTCAGACAACCCTCACCAGGGTTTCAGCTTTTCAGGATCACATTTTGTTCTCAGTCATCATTAGTAAAGGTCAGGTGTTCCAAATTTCAAAGCTTTACAAATAATCCTCAAACCTAATCAGCAGCAGAATTTGACAGCATCTGTCAAATTTGTTGACAATTACCGCAACTAAGGCAGACAAAGCAGGTAAAAATAAATTATGTAAGTGATGTAATTAGAAATGACAGCTCGCAGAAAAAGCTGAGGTCAAATTCAAGTTAAAATAGCAACAAAAACAACAACAACAAAAAAACATCTCAAGGTAAGATCCTATTGGTACTTCTTCATGCAAGTCACATTCCATCATTATAATTTCTGAGATTGTTCTATTGATCAGTTTCACCAGTACAACTTAAAAAAAAAAAAACTTCCGAAGAATCTTGTTTCGTCTTGGAGAAACCGCCTGATATAATCACATATCACAAGAAGATTGCTGCTACTTCTAAATGTCTGTTTTCGAAGAAGTGGTTGACAAATTTGACATGTATCAATGATAGAAATATGAGTTTTTTTGTATTTCTTTAAGTCAAGTCAAGTTTATTTGTATAGTGTTTAGTGATCTCACAATCTTTTCTGCCATCACTTGAACAAGACAAGTTTTCTGAGTTCCTTTGCTCGAGGCAGAGCCACAACCCCCAATTGATAGTCAACCTGGAAGGCTGTTTGTAAAAATATATATATATATATATCGTGGCTGAAAGTTAGAGTTAACCTTTTGTGTGGAAAAAAAAAAGACCAAACCGTAAGTTAAAAAGACTTGTGGGGGAGATTGATAGTATGATTACATCAAAATTTACCTTCTGAATGTTTTCAGTTTTTGTTTTAAGACTATCAATGAAAGGGAGAAAAAAGCTAATCCAAGTGTTGTAGATAATTACTTGTAGCTACCATGTTCATTTCTGTTAGTTTTAAGTCTCTTAATAGTTTTATCTGTCTGAATTGCTGCATCAAATCAGACCAAATGACATGATCGTTGGGATCAAATAATGTTTCTCCTCTTTGATCTACTGGTTTCTACTTGTTCTTTTGTATATCTTGGTTCTTCTCATGTCATTTATTCTCTGGGCTGCTCTTTTTATTTATAATGTTAGTGTAACACATGTTGGTCACTATTGGTTTCTATTAGACTGACAATGGAGAATCACAATGTGTCTGCATTATGTAACAAACTGCTGATGTCCTTTCTTCACATCAGATCACTATGTCACACTAATTTTGCTTGAATTGTATGGCGAAACAAGGGGGGGAGAGTGGAGGAATCTTGGGGCGGTGTTTCAGGTTTGATGCAGGTTCCCATGAATTGGCTTGAGCATTCTCGTGCTCTAACCAAACAAAGCTACAAATCAAATGATCAAATTTATCTCACTACGTCAATCTTTGTCACAACCTCTCAGTTGATTGTTGATTGCAAGGCAATGTGTATATTGCTGATTTAATGAATGATCTGAACGATACTAAAGCTACAGGGAAGCGAAAGAGATTCAAACACCACAATTTTGTTTATTTTATGTTTTTTTGGAAAACTTGGACACAGTCATTGAAATATGAATATGGACACTTCAGATGCTGATAGAAACAGGTCCATGTGTTGTAAACTGCAAGAACTCACAAGCTCCTCCAGCAGCCTGTACATGGGGATGCGTACATATGTGGAGCATATGGTAAATGCTCGAACCAATGCACGTCACGTTTCCATCAGACCTGAAAAGCTGAGCCCCCCCACCACCCGCTTGCTTCACCATATAATTTGAGTTGTGTGTGGTTTTGCATGCTCTAGCTCTTGTATAATCAACTCTGCCACCATTCTCAACATAAGCCACGGGCTATTTCTGCTCCCTCGTGTTGTCAGCTATATTATCTTACCCTCATCCTTCTCATTCACTTTCATAATGAACTCTAGTCTACCATGTCATATGATGCTGTCTGTTATATTTTCTCTTTCATTTCTCTCTGCTCAGCTCAGGCCGGCTGACTGGGTTCGATTTGTGAGTCTTGAATTTTTTTGTTGTGGAAGCTGAAAATGTTGCTGAATTTTAACTACTTGGCACATTGGAAAATAACCTCTTCTGATTTATGTGTTTAGTGTTTATGCAATATTGCAACAGTATTTTTCATTCTTAAGTGCAAGTAGGCAAAATACTGTATGACTTCAAGCATTGATCTTTGTGATCAAGTATGAAATATTTTGTTCAAAACATGATGGCATATTTTTTTTTAGCAAGGTCTAATTTTCTACTGTAATTAAACCATTTCTAACTGGGCTGCAAGGTGAAAACAGTGGTAAAAAGTATTGGCTTGCATTAAGAAGGTCCTTGGTTCAAATCCTGACCTGGATTCGTTCTGATTGGACTTTTCATGTTTCAGGGAAAATAGCAACAAAGTAAACATAAGTTTTATGTACAAGTGTGCAAACAAAACATTTCAATTTGATTATATTTTATATATTTCTCAAGGGGCAAAATGACTCTTAGTAACAGAACCTTGGTGAGTTCCTCTCTAAGTATTCTTCTATTGCAAATATAGAGACTGCTTGTAAATAATCTAAATAGTGTTACTTCGTCTAAATCAGTGGTTCCCAAAGTGAAGAGAATTTTTGGGAACCAACTGGTCTAAATCATTCCTATTTGTTGCACAGTATACTTTTGCATGAAACTGAAGTATGTATATGAATGTTACTTACTCTCAACTGTTAGGGTGATGGGTTGGCTGGTCTTGTTTTCTCCATTTATGTCGTTAACTGCTTGCACATAGTAGCGCCCGGCATCTGGTGCCACCGAAGACAAAATAACCAGTGTGTTGTCCAAAGTAATTGCACTGAAAAAGGGACAAAACAATGTGGATTCAGTACAAATAAAACTAAAATCCAAGACACACATTGTTAAAGTTAAAGCTCAGCCAAGATCTGAGTTCCAACAAAAGTTTCTTCAAAAGAATATGAAGCTGGCATCTTCAGAGGCTGCATTGTCCAATTAAGGCTAAATATGTTTGAAGTTTATTGGGTCCACAGTTGATCCCACTGCTGAAAGGAACATCAAACATTTTACCATTTAATTACACTGTTCAAGCAGTGTTAAGTCGATTGATTTGCAATGTGTAAACAATGTGTAAGTGCTGAACGAGCATAGGAGAAATATCGACATCCTCTCCTTTCTCAAATATGATGTCCTTGCATAATAAGCTAGAGCAATTAATTTGATGTTTGTACCTCGCCGCTTTCTGGGACCTGAACCCTGGCAGCTAGCCACTTTTGAAGACAATAACATCTTCTCTACCGGGTGCTGCAAGTCTAAATAAATAAACACAGATTCATTTTTAACGAGTGTCTTCTAGATCCTAACAACAAGTTAGTTTGACTTTTTCATGCTCTGGCTTTGACTCTATGTCTGTAGCATCTAGAAACAATGAAATCTTTCTTCTTGTTCCGTGATGTTCTATACTCACACAAAGTTTGGAGTCAATACTCTTTTCATCTGGACCTGTTTTGCACAGTATCAATCCACGTTTCAGCTCGTCTCCTTACTTCTTCTCTTTCTCTCCTTTATGTACTGTTCCTTTTTTGCATTTCTCTTTGCTTCTGTTTATATTTTTAGTAATCACTGACTTAACACATACCAAATAATTACAAAATTCTAAAACCAAAAGACTTTGAGAATAAGGAAACATGAATATGGTAATTAGGGGTCCAAATGCAGTGAAAGGTCATGACACTTAGTCCTTCACATTTTGTTGAAAGAAGAATATGCCATCTATGATCAAAAAGAGGATGTTCATCTTTTCATAACTGTTTTAAAACTGCTATCAAGGTAAATTAATCACTGAAAGTACAATCTGAAGCTCTACACACTAAAGCAATGAAGAAAAGGCTGATAATAATGTCATTCTGAAGCTTAAAGACCTGAAACTACTTTAAAAATAACAGAATGTAAGAGAGCGTTCCCATTTCCCTTTCCTATAGTGACAGCCCTGGAGAGCGAGTGCTGGATGAAGTTAAATCTTTCTACACTGTTTCAACTTAACTTTGCACACCATATTTTGAACTTGAATTCATTTTCAACAAATTATTTGTAGACATTGAAAGACGATTTGTTTATGTGTCTCCAATAAACAATATAATACTGAGAAAAGGTTAAATTTGATCAGGGGTGTAGTTTTTCAAATTTGATAAAAATGTATTTATTCAAACATGACTTTGACTTATAGTTCATTTAAGCCTAAAGTAGAGGGAAATGAATTTATTGAATTTATTTATTGAAAATAAAAACAACATGTTCTCTTACACATATCTAGTCGCTACAGTTCCTCAATTGTTTTGTAGGTGTATCAGTACTACACCTAAAAAACTGTGATATTTGTAATCAAGAACCACAAAAAATGCATGGTGTAATTCTGGTTTATCATGAGAATTTATTTAAAGTTTACCCTTCAACATTGTACACTAAAATATCAAGACTGTCTTACAGAATAAACACAGCAGAACATGTATGATCAATGGAGCATGCACAGAAACAGTGCACACTATATCACCACAGACTACCTGAGCTCTCAGCGTTCACAGGCTAAGATCCATCTTCAGGCCGAATGATTCCCAAATATGTCAGAAGCGACCCAGGTGACTAAGCTCATTTGGGATTCGCTTCACATGCTGAGACTCTAAATACTCTTTCCAAAGGGGCAAGCAAACTTCAATGGCTGCAGCGCATGATATGCGGTAAATATTTTATGCCAGTTCGCTGGAGCGGTGACATCCTGGACACACGTGTATGAATTATGGATCCCTTCAGGGATGAAGGAAACACAGGAAGTCTCCAAAGCAGTGACTGAATTCGGGGTGACATCTCAGGGATGTTCTAAAATAGCTATGCAGTCCAGGCCTAACTCCTTATGCTGCACCCTAAAACATATAAATATTTGTTGGTAGCCATCGCTTAGATGATGAAACCTTTGTTCTCTGTATCTATTAAATAATTAGTATTTTTTTAACAAACCTCAAGTTTTTAAATGAAGTTGTAACTGAATGCTTTTAAATAAAGTTGTAACTGAATGCTGAATCAAAGTGACGGGCTGATGCAATGTAATTGTATCTTTGGAAATCCAACTTTTCATTATATTTCCTCAAGTGAATCCAAGTGGTGTGTGAAATTACCTACATACAACGGCATTGTAATTTTGAACATGTAGAATGTAGAAAAGAAGAGGAATGACGTTTGTTTGGAAAAACTCGTTTGTCAGAAGTGGGACAGAACTGCAACGTGATCACAGCTGCATCTCCCTCTCATGATAGTAGCATTTGAAAGTATCACTACTGTCCAAACAAATATCGTCTTGTTAGTCTAACTAGACAATTTTGTGGAGTGGAAGAAGAAGTTTCTTCCAAACATTTTCTTCCAAATATTGATGGTTTTGGGCTCCAGTCAGTATCAGTGAGGGTTCTAATTTGAGTGACGGATTCTTCAACTCAACTTCAATGCAGCACAGGTCAGCTTTCTTTGGAGCTACTACTCAAGACTTTTGTCCCAGCCCTCACTGGATCTTCTAACATGTAAAATGTCTCATTTCTACTGCTAGTAGAAATTGATCACTATCAGAAGCCTTCCTTCAGCAGCTCAACAGTCTTGGCACTTCGAAAGACAGAAAGGATTTTTCCCCCTCATCACCAAGGGTGTCAGTGTGAATGCCTGAGAGAATATTCAAATTGAAGTTAGTCTTAGTATATTTTCCACTTCACAGGACTATGCTCTCAAATCTTTAGCCGATGAACTCTGTTTGACTAAATACACTTCAGATTATCTAAATACACTTCAGATTATCTTTGTGACAGTGTTTCTTACTTTGCTTATTAATTTTTGTAATTTGAAGCTCCATTTACAACCTGCTACAACAGCACAAAGATGTAAATGCATGTCTGTCTTTACTGGACATTGAGATTTTGACGAAGGGCGTTTATGGAGAATTGAAAGCTGGACTGAATTAAGTCATTAAGATGAAATACTTATTTTTCACATCTTTAATGTTTATGAAAACAAGAATTGGGGTTCCTTATCTCTTCTCATGAGTTGCTGTTGATTGTTTTTGGCAATGAATTAATTGATTTAAAGTCACAATCAGAAATTTATCTAAAACACTGTTTCAAAAAACTGAAAAATAAATTGAAAAGGAAAAAAAATGAGTTAAAGTAAAACTATTTTTCACTTACATCCATTCATCGACTGCTTACTGTCTGATAAACAGTAACATTCACATTCTGACCTCTGATACTCCTGTTCTTTGTTTCATTTTCCCCTAAAGACCATATAAAACCTAACTAGCTTTTCAAAGTGCCAGCCAAGTTTAGTTTTTACTACATATTATACACAGTAAATTTAGATTTTATCTCTTGTTCAAAGTAAGAGGCATTTTTTTTCTTTTTGCTGGTTGATTTTAATATGCTCCCCTGCAGAGCATCTCTCCCTCAGCCTGTAATCAGTGCTGGTGCAGTGGGGGTCAAACACAACTTTGTTACGCAGCTTGTTCAGCAGATGTAACTGTTCCGAGAGCTTGGGCCTCGGGGATCATAGGCCACATGATGCTGGAAGAAAATAAAAGTAAGCCAATTATGCTGAATGGCTTTACGAGTGTCTCAAGGAAGCAGGAAGAGGAAGATAACAGTTCAGTTTCAGAAAGTAATGAAATTGTTATTTTTTTTCTCCACAAGCTTCCTGCAGTGAATGTTGTTCTTCTTTATCTCTCATTCACTGTCTGAATGCATTCCAGTCATCCTTATTCAGCTCCCCGTCTCCCAGTGGTGTTGTGAGCAGCTGACTGAGGCACGTCTGTAACGATAGCTTACCACGCATCCGGCACGGTGCAGGGATTTATCAAGCTGCAGAGCAGGGAAATTTGGACAAATCAGATATGTGCGAACATGCCTCGGTCTCTGTTTTTTTTTTTTTTTTTTTTTTCTTCATTTCTTGTTTTTTATGTTTGATTTTACAATACTCTTGTTTTCACTCTAACACAATTTCCTTTTCCATTACTATGCTCCAAAAAGAACTGTGATGCACTTGAGAAGACGCCAAGCTGGACTGTGGCTCAGAAACAACTCTGCTGCTTTAATACAGCAACATGCATAGTTAGTCTTGAATGCAATTAATGTCTTGTGGATTAAATTATTTATGTTGAGCATCAAGGGTGATTTTGATTGACTCCTAGTTTTATCTTTTATTGGCACATTCATCAATAATGATGTGGAGGATGTGTTTTTGATTGAGATGGAGAGACAGGAGTTTAAATGTTTTATTTCTTTCAAGCCACTTCCCGTCTCTAATTTCAATTATTACAAATAAATTGAATCTCCTCGAAATTAAATTAACAATGATCCAGACCGCTCTCTTTAATTAAAAAAAAAAAAAAAAAAAAAGAATCATCCATGGACTCTTTTTTATCTTCCAATCTGTTTCAACCAGAATTTGTCAGCTATGTGCCTACCATGTTCTGTTAATCTAATCTAGAGTGGGCCCAGCTTTAGCACACAAGTACACGCACACCAAAATGGAGTGTTTTAGTATCTGTCACAGTGTGAGGAGGCCTAGCCCCGTTCCCCTTCCCTAGATCACCACTATATTTAGACAAATAGCACCAGTTGGTTGAGGATCTCCCCCGAAAGTGAGAGAGCTAGTGAGAGGGAGAAAAGGTCAACAGAATCAAGCAGCTCACATCACTGTTTAAGTTATGAGTCAAACTATGGGTAGTGGACAGATGACAGCGAAAGAAATGTGTAGCAAGAGCAACAGGCTGTATGCCCAATTGTTCTGAAAAAAAATGAAACAATAATCTCA